CCATAAATGGCTTGGCTCCCGTTTATACTCAAGACATGTTAATGTCTTATCAACCAAGCCGAGCACTGCGCTCGCAAAACGCCAGACATCTGGTGGTTCCTAAGGTTTCATAAAGCATTGTCGGTGGCAGAGCATTTAGCTACCAAGCTCCTTTACAGTGGAATCAGCTTCCCATCCACGTTAAGGAAGCACACACGGTCTCTACATTAAAGGGCAGGCTTAAAACACTCTTCTTCAATTTAGCATATGATTAGGTTGTTTGTCTGGTCAGGTCTCGTCCGGTCTTGGAGTCTGCATACGTGGGACCCGGTCCGCTGCACCTTCAACCCTACGTTCTAGGCTACGCTAAAACAGTCCTCTTTAGTTAGCATATGGTTAGGAAGGTAAGACTCAGGGAAGGCTAAAAATCTTAGCTGCTTAGGGAGTCAGTTTGCCGGGAGAAGTATGGTAACTTGAGCACGATCCTCTCCTCCTTCCTACTTTATCTGTTTGCATGATTAGGATTTTGACTGTAGTCTGTTCAATGCTATTCACCTGTTGTCCCATCGTCTGTCCATGGTGCGACAACGGGACCTCTGAATCTGGCCTCCTCCATCTACACCTGCGTACTGCCCTGCCCGACCCGCCTGGGAGCTGCGTCAGTCCTGCACCGGACATGTCCACGTTCTGTAGCTTAGGTCCTGGATCTATAGCCCGTCCGTCCGTGGGAGCGGATCCCTTTCTCAAACCATGGGTCTCCCTGAGGTTTCTCACTTTTTTCCCACTGGGTTTTTGTGAGTTTTTCCTTGCTGATGCAGGAGGGTCTGTTGGGCAGTTAGTGTCTAACAAAAAGGACCGTGGTGATGATCCAGGACACTGCAACATTCTACAACATGTATGGACATTTATCAACATGTGTTCTATATTCATTTTGTGTCTTAACTGTTGATTCTCTGATCTGTGTTGGTGATTTCAATGGTTTTGTTAAGTCCTCTGAGACGACTAATGTTGTGATATAGGGCTATACAAGAATAACTTGTATTGTATTTTTTTGTTGTTTTTAAGAATGTATTGAGCCTGTTAATGCTTGGTTATGAAACATTACTGGATTCAAACATGTTTACATTTGTATCTAAGGAAATATAGACAACTAGAAAAGCACTTGGAGAGTGCAGAACTCTGCTTAGAGGAACTGTTCCATTCCATTGAAAAAATCATTCAAACTTGAATCACTTGTTCAGTGGACTATTGCACACTTTCCCTGAAATATTTGTCTGAATCATTCAACATTTGTAGTTTTTTGCTGAGAAGTAATTAGATGTGTGATCTGTAATCTTAGATATCAGTTGCATATGGCTTTGTTCAGTGAAAAGAAAATGTCTTACAAAAGGACACAGGAGCAGAATATGTGGCCACCGTAAAGGCCATCTCTTCTTAGGACAAAGACACAGTCAACAAGATTCACCAAAGCTCACTTTACATCAAAATGTCAGGACTTCAGGCAATTGATGTGGCACAGTGGCAGTAAAACCAAGTTGCTCGGCACAGGGAGTAAACGTGCAAGGAATGCAGAGGAATTGCTTTCATCTTAAAAGAGACATGATAAGCAAAGTGTATACTTGTTTGAGCTTTTGACTTTGACCAACATTGTTCCCTCATCAAAAACGGACCCAGAGTTGTTTTTAGATACTCTTATACCATCCACTCCTAAGTGTGGATGGTATAGGAGTAACACAATCCCTCCTCTCTAAAAGCTCCAGTCTCAGAGCAGTTTTTTGCATTTAAAAGAAAAGTAGTGGCTATAAAAAGAACAGCTCAGTGAAATTCTTTATAACCACATGGCTGTGTTTGCAGCTTGTAATTTTCGAAATTGAAAAAAATTAAAACAAATTACATAATATCTCAATACTATAGATAATATTTCATATTCTAAAACATTAAATTACAAAGTAAAACGTCTCGTTATAATTGTTGTCTCTTTTGCAAAGCTACGGCTCTAACAGTGGTCCACACAATACATTATTTATATTGTTAACACATGTTACAGGAAATAAATTAAACAGACAAATCAAGTGTTGAAAAAAGCTAAAAGCATATTGTTTCAGTGACCTTTTGAAACAGATTTTATTGTCGAAATCAATGACATTCCACAGCTGCAGGGCTCAATTTAAAGCAGTTCTTTTCTGCATGTTAGTTCTGGATCTGGGCAGTGTACATACACCCTTTACAGCATGTCTTTTGTTGTCTGTTATCAAGCCATATTTATTGGTGTTAAAAAATAAACAAAATGCATCACTGACATTATTACACAATTGTATTCATTATTATCTCCTATCTCCGAACCAAGTCTGCTTCATTAATAACACATTCCTGTTTTTATCTCAAGAGTATCTGCCATGCCATCACAAAGTTTCTATTCTTCATTTTTCAGTCTGGTGCAGTTCTCTCTTGTCCCAGAGGTGGTTTGTCGTCAAGGGAAACCCACTTCCTCATCCTGGAACTCCCCAAGCGTCAACGGGTCAAAATGCAGTTTTGGCCAATCACAACACAGAAAACAGAGCAGCCGCTGTTTACAGGAAGCACAACAAGCCTTTTGTCTTCGGCTTCTATAAAAGGAAATTCTGTGGAGGACTTCCTGAAGGACTGATGATGTAGGTGTGCTCAACTTACTCTGTCAAAGTCTCCATCTCTGCTCCATTCATTCAGACAAACAAGAGCACTGTTGTAGTCTGGGCCTTTCTATGTCTGGATGGGTTTACCTCCAAGCACTCTGGTTCTTCTTCATTCAACTCAGGCTAAAATCCACTAGCTCAGATGGCTACACTAAAACACTACCCCAACAATCTGTAGACAATGATGCACCTGCCATTGAAGGATAGGTCAAAAACAGATAACATTATAATGTACCTGTCAAAACCCCAAAACAAAGCTCAAGTGATGCCCCTGGAGAACATCTTCATGGCATTATCAGTACATCTCTGTAAGGTAAAAAGTTTACAAATATTTAAATATTAAATTAGTTCCAATTATTTGATTTTCTTGTTACACCTCTACTTGAAACCATTGCATTGTACAAAATACTGGAGTCACATATTCCAAAGTAACCGGCTCAGATGCATGGGGAAACCAACACACTTTTGAGTTGTGTATACAAAGGGCTACAGTGAGGGCAGTGATTACACGTTTGGCAGAGATGACAGAGTAAACACAGTGCCCTGTGTCCACCCACTCTCCTCAACACCTTATCCTGTTATTCTGCAGCTGCCTCACCTCTGAGTCAACATTTTCACAAACCTGGCAACCTGACTGCTGTCACATACTTCCAATGAAGAAGACACAAACTCCTCTGGTTCAGCTAAACACAGCACTAACTTGTAATACCATGAAAAATAACTTGCCTTTATGTCTATAGTCAATGACCACATGTAAAAATAGTACAGGATCATAAAGCCCTAAGCCATAACCGAATGAAACTTTGATCAAGCGGAAGCAGCTTTGACATTGATTCTGGATTGTTAATTACAGATCATCTGACCATACCCCATGTATCAATCTTAACAAGTAGAGGCTGACAAACACAACAACTACAACTTTCACATATGAAAGAAATTATAAACTGCACTGTAAAGACCAAAATCTCAAGCTAAAAAGTTTTATTTGACAAGTTAATGTCAATGGTATTGTATTTGTAATTGTATGACCACTTATATATAATTCCAACATTCTTTAATTGCAAATGATTCTATCCATGCCAAATGTACATTTATCCTGTGTAAGATCAATAAAGTCTATCTTATCTTATCTTAACATTATAAACAATACATTGCAATTACTGCAGTTACTGGGTCTTTATAAATTTCCTTTTTAATAAAAATTATGATAACCTGTATTAAATGCATTTGTTTTGGTTTGTATTGTTTCAATCATGCAGTTCAGAATTTGGACAGTCAATCTCACAGCCAATTGCTCATTCTTTCTTCTGCTGCCAAATGTTTGTAGTCTGTTTTGTGATAAAAAGTAAGTGCTTAAAAATCACATGACCGTGGCTATTAATAGAGCCATACCATTGAACTTCAAGAAGGAATACATTTACTTCCTAGATCAAACAGAGGGATTTAAAAGACTCAAAAACCACATTTAAGGGAAACCAGTGTCTATATAAAAAGCATATTCAATCTAAGAATCAACAGAGTCTAACAATAACCGTAACCTAATAGTTTTTCCTTCTTGTAACATATGTTTTGTGTTTGGACTACTTAAGGTGACTTCATGGCAGCGCTTTGTAATAGTAAACATGTAATTACATGAGCTTGAATTGAAAAGGGGGCAATTCACAAAACCCACGAGCACAAAGATGTATAATTGTGTTGGATTATAAGTATTTTTATCCACTCTGTAATGTAGACAGGACAAGGAAATCTAAAAACCAACAATGTGGCAATTGGAATGAATTATTATGTTATGTGTGGGTCATACAAACAATGCATATCTTATAACAGCACAACTTAAAGGTAGTTACTTTATTAGGCTCACCAAGTAAAGGCCTTTAAAATCTTAGTACCTGTTTTCAGCGTGGCCAATTCTGATACATTATACATTGACTGAAAAATTATGGAATTTAATGTGTTTTGTATAAAGACTCCATTTTCCTCCCTCGATGTTTATTTATTTTACATTACAAAGAGGACAGCCAGCTATTTATAGACAAAGCTATACGCGGATAGACAAAACAATACAGCACCAGGCTTGAACAGCTGGTGTGCTATAACTAGTCCAAATTGGAAATCAAACAAACACATCTAAAGCATTATGCCAGATATCCAACTCTCCAATCATTATGCAGTTTATTGGATCATGTAAAAAAGCAAAAGCAAACTCACCGGTCAAAGCAGCGAGAAAACCAAGAACCACGCCAGGGCTGCTGCACAGATTTCAGAGTGAAGTAAAACTAGTTAAAGGTCAAGCAGACGATATATCACAACGTGTTCTAAAAGGTAACGTTAGTTCTTCTCCAGTGTCTGATGCTCTTGGTCCGCTCCCTGTCCCTGTCCAGACTACCACCTTGATTCTGGGAGGAACTTTACCGACGCGAAGGGAAGCTGAAAAGTCAAAACTGAACATCTAAGAGCGCGCAGGCTTCCGTAGGCTCCACACATGACGGTGGCATCCATATTCATAACAAAACTCCTCTTGTTGATCCTTCATTGCCTTCTGTATCACTTTCATTGACCTTTTATAGCACGGGTTGGCTCTAGGTTTTCCAAGTTTGATTTTATACATTTGAAGAGGGCTAAATACCGCTTGGGAATAATATAATAGTATGAAGGGTAGTAAAACAACGAAGGCAGGACGAGGGAGCATAAAGAAGGAGGTACTTTCAATGAATTTGAATGCACTCGTCAATCCGCGGTAAAATCCTGTAACGTGAATTTGCTACTACAGGTGAAACGAAACTTGTTTCTGACGGGAAAAGGATACACCGATATCAAAAAGTAAAAGCAGCATTACCATATATTTCTCATTCTAGCTCCTGTGTGACAATGAGGAGAAAAACTATTTGTATGTTATCTTGTACTAGGCCTGTAATAATATAAATGCACAATGAGCGTGCTATATTATTCTTGGATTTTTGCATCAAGTAGTTTTACATTGAAATGCCAACCGGATGTTGTATTTGAGCATTTGAAAAACGTGTCCTTTTTGATTAACGTCAGCTCTTCTCACTGCTCCTGCAGCAACAATTTACAAACGCAGGTATTAAAACAATTACCTATTTGAAAGCGTTTGATAACACATGTGTCACATGTGTAAAGCCATGTGTCATCAGTTACATGACGTGCGCCATTATCTTGTTAACTAGCTGTTACATGCTTTTTGCTAGTAGCTCAGACAGAAACTAGGTGAAATAGTGAAATAGGCGTAATAATATTGGATGAAATCTGTGATCAGGTACTTGTTAAATCTATTGATTTAGGATTTTGCTCAAACTACTCGTGTTTAATATACTTAGGAGCAACAATTATACACCCAAACTTAATTGTGTAAACAATATATAATAAAACATCTTTGGTATCTAAAATGGCATTGCTTATGACAACTGTTAAAAAGGAATGCCTTGAAAAGACTACAATCAAAATTATACATCCTCCATTGTAGTTTAAACTAAGTTATTAAAGAAAACAATGTAGACTTTAATCATCATCATCAACCATTCTGATTTGGAGGGAAATTTGTCGTATTTATTTGTTTTGATTTTTAGAAAAGCAAACCGAAACCAATAACATAAAAAGGAAATCAAAATTGACAAACAAAACAAAACTCCAAGTTAATTGTGAGAGGAATCTTAAGATGGACCATAACTATACTTATACTAATTTATTTAACGTAATGCATATTTTTTCTCTCTTGAAGCCTTAGTTAGCACATCATTCCCGCTTTTGCTTTTTGTGCAGGTGCCATGTTTCGCAGGTGGGGCTACAGTTGGGACAGCGACTTTCATGATATCGACCTGTTCTCCGATCGTTATGACACCGAAACGACAACCCTGTCCCAGGCCATCAGAGCCGCAGCCACAGAAGAGCCTGATGCAGACGGCAGCGTGCTCTTTGGGAGTATTAAAGGCACCGTGGTGGGGCTGAGGTATTACACAGGGGTGGTAAGTTAATACTTTGCATTAGGGTCCAATCGATATATTGCTTTGTTGAATACATTTAATGATTTTTCTTGCAAGAGAATCAGGCAGAATTCATGAAGCGTTCATGAGTCCAAATTGCAGAGGGGAAAAATGTTCTTAGTAGTGGGGGAGTGACTTGAATAGTCCATGTACAGTCATACAACCAGCCTGTCCTCGAGTTCAGAATGTATCCATCCATTTTCTCCTTAATCCATTTCTGGGTCGGGGGGATGGCCACCCAATTCGCATCCAGTTCCATCTCCTCCTGCAGGTGGTGGGTCCACTGGAAGCTGCTCTGCTCTGAACAGCCTTGAACTTTCAGTGGGGGTTTCAGGCAAAGTGGGGTTAAGTGTCTTGCCAGAGTTCAGAATGTAAATTTACTTGATTTCTTCAGGTCAACAGGGGAGAGATGGTTGGCCTGGTGAGAGAGCCCCAGAATCCGTACGACCGAAACGCAGTGAAGGTTGTCAATGTGTTCGGGCAGCAGGTGGGACACATCAAGAAAGAACTGGCTGCTGCTATGGCCCGAATCATGGACAACAACCAGGCCAAAGTAGAAGGGTGAGTTTGTCATCGTCATTTGGATTATTATTATTTTTTCTCATTAATACCTATAATTTTATAATACCTATAATACCTGATTCTGATTCTGATTCGGATTCTGAATTTGTATTGCTTTCTAATGACCTCCATTGCAAACAATTAAAAACATGGTTCGACGTGTTTAATATACTTGCATAGTAAAGAACGCAAATTGACTCTAATAATGATGAATCCAAACTCTTTCAGAAGTATTAATTGTAGAAATTGTCCTGTCTCTGATATAACAGATATGAGTCCTTTAAGATAATGTTCAGATTATATTCAAATGGTGTCTTTGTGTCTTTCCAGAGTTGTGTTTTCGGGGACAAACAACTCTTTCTCGATGCCTGTTGCTTTGTCTTTTTGGGGCCAAGAGGAAGTTAAGGAAAATGTGACAAAGACGTTGGCTCAACATGGTTTCAAACTCGAGACCGGTGTCCGAGGAGCATCCGGCTCCGGAGGTGGGACTTTGTTTATTTAATGAAGACGTTAGCATTTTATTTCCCGCTGTTCTTTTTTGTAATTGAACACAGGTGGTTATCAAGAGACCTACTCAAGAGGAATTCCTAAAAAAGGTGTAACAGTCCTTCTGACGGACGAAGAGGTATTCCAAATATATTCTTTCTTTATTAATTTATTTCAGGCAATGGCAAAAGTGAGAAAACGAGGTAATTAAAAGCAATTAAGTAATATAAATAATATAAAGCAAAAAACAAAACAGACAAACACAATAAAAAAACAAAAAAACAGTGTAAACAAAAAATGTATAAACAAAAATCTATGGTTTAACATGGCCAAATATTTCTGCCTGAAAAGGAGTGGGAGGAAGAAAAAACTTATTTAATCCCACCCCTATATCCCCATTTCAGTGATTAAACGATCAACTTCACTGTTACAGTTCAAGCCAGTATCATACCAGAGTGGCGTTATCACGGGCAACAAGGACATTTACATTGTAACAACAGTTACCAATAATGGTAATAGAAAATATACCAACAATGGTAATAGAAAATATACCAACAATGGTAATGAACAAAAAAAAGAAAAAAACAACAATAGCAAGATTCTATATACTAACAAGGTAATGGAACATTGAGCACATGTTACACTATGAGACAGAGAAAATCTGATTAAATTAAAGACCCTCATCTCTATATTGTAACCAGACCTTATGTTTATAGAACAGTTTAAATCGATGAATAGTTTTACAATGCTTATGTTGTGAGTCCAGTTTATTCCAAAGTTTTACTCCACATACTGACAGACAAAAACATTTACGAGTGGTTTTTGATCTTGGCAGTGAAAAATATCCAAAACCCCTCAAGTTATGAGCTCGCTCAGGAGTCGTAAAGAAACGCTGCAGGTTAGACGGTAATAATTTGTTGAATGCTTTATACAAGACTATTGATGTATTATATTTAACAAGATCATCAAACTTTAGCAGCTTTGACTGAGTAAAAAGATTATGAGTATGTTCCAGAAAACCAACCTTATGGATGATCCGCACTGCTCTTTTCTGTAATATGATGAGAGGATGTAGTGTGTTGTGGTAAGTGTTACCCCAGACCTCAACACAATACGTCAGGTATGGAAGAACCAGGCTGCAGTATAATGTACGGAGTGCATTTCCATTTAGGTATAGTTTTGCTTTGTTAATAATTGAGAGGCTTTTGGAAATTTTGGTTTTTATGTGTCTGACGTGGGGTTTCCATGACAACTTGCTATCAATTTTTACTCCCAAAAACTTAATTTCACTTACCATTTCAATTTGGATATCATTAATACTTATTCTCGATTCAGACGTTAGGTTGCGATTCCCAAACATCATCATCTTAGTTTTATTTACATTCAAGGATAATTTATTTGCATCCATCCACTTTTTTATTTGATGTAGTTCCTTGTTTACGGAGATTACAAGCTCATTATAATCATCACCACTGTATAGAATAGTTGTGTCGTCAGCAAATAGAATTAGTTTTAGTACTTTAGATGTATTAAAAATGTCATTCATATATATGTTAAACAGTTTAGGACCCAATACTGACCCCTGGGGGACACCGCAAGTAATGCCAACCGTGTCTGAAAAATACTGACCCATTTTAACAAACTGTACCCTCCCTGTTAAGTAACTTTTGATCCATTCCCCAGCCAGTCCTCTAATTCCGTATCTTTCCATCTTTTTTAGTAGTATTGAGTGGTTAATGGTGTCAAAAGCCTTTTGAAGATCAACAAAAATACCAACTGTATACTTTTTCTGCTCTAATGCATTTGAGATGTCTTCAATTGCTTCAATTACTGCCATTGATGTTGTTCTTTTGGATCTGAAACCATACTGACCTTCATTTATTATATGATGTTTCTCCAGAAACTTTTCAAGTCGTGAATTGAAAAGCTTCTCGAGAATCTTTGAAAACTGAGGCAATAGAGAGATGGGTCTGTAATTGGAAAATTCATGTTTGTTTCCATTTTTGAAAGTGGAATTACTTTCGCAATTTTCATTTTATTTGGAAAAGAACCGGTCTGGAATGATAAATTACAGATGTAAGTTAGGGGTTTAACAATATTCAGAATAACTTTTTTAATCACGGTCATATTGATATCATGGCAGTCAGTGGACGACTTACTTTTACATGTCTGTACGATTTGTGTTACTTCCTGCTCATTTGTTGCTGAGAGGAAGAACGACCAAGAATTTTGTTTAATAGGGGATTCTGTAACTTCATTGTCTTGAATATCAGCAGCTAATTTAGACCCAATATTTGCAAAGTAATCATTAAACTTATTTACTATATTTCTAATATTATAATCTTCACCATTTTCAAGAACAAAATGATCAGGATATGTTAACTTTGAATGTCCTTGTTTGATTAGGCTATTCAAAGTACCCCAAGTTCCTTTCATATTATTTTTATTTTCATACAGTTTGTTTTCATAGTATAACCGTTTACTTGTTCTTATGATATCCGTTAATTTATTTTTGTATTTCTTATATCTTTGTTCCACTTCTGCTGTTTTAACTTTGAGAAACATTCTGTAGAGATTGTTTTTCTTTTTACAGGCATTAAGTATTCCTTTTGTAATCCAAGGGCTTTGTTTACATTTTTCCTTTATGAAATATTCCTTTACCGGGCAGTGCTCATCATGCAATGAAGTAAAGATGTCTAAAAAGGTACAATAAGCACTGTCCACATCTGGTTCGTTGTAAACCTTGGTCCAATCCTGGAGCAACAGACTGTTGTTTAGGGTGAGGATTGTTTCATCAGTGATTATACGTTTAAATATTTTTGCTGTATTGTCCTGAGTTTTTTTTAGATTACAATCGTACAGAGTAAATATAGGTAAGTGGTCAGTGATGTCACATACCAAAAGTCCACTGCTGATTTTATTCCCGATTATGTTTGTAAAGATATTGTCAATGATGGTGGCACTGTGTGATGTTATTCTGCTTGGTTTTGTTATAGTTGGATATAGAGAAAGGCTGTACATGGTGTCAATGAAGTCATCAACAGTTTTTAACTTGGTCGGATTAAGCAAATTGATATTAAAGTCACCACAAATAAATATGTTTTTTTGATTGACAGAAGAAAACAGTTTACCCATCCACTCATTAAAGCTGTCTATGCTCGAACCAGGTGTCCGATATATACAGCTCATGAAGATATTAGTCTTTTTCTCATTTAGTATTTCCACTGTTAAACATTCAAACAAGCCATCCACAGCTACTGACATATTTTTTACAACATAAAATGTTATTGATTTGTGGATGTATATGGCAACACCATATTATGTTTGTTTAACAATGTATTTATGATGTATCTGTAACAATGTGTCTGTTTTCTTGCAGCTGAAAAATGCTTTTGATAATCTCTTTGAAGGATTGATGGAAAGTAAAGATGGAGAGAAAGAGGCTGCAGATGTGGGTACTTTTAACACTTCTGGTCAAAATGAGAACTACAGAGTTAATTTTGCATTGGTTAGCAAATTCTGTAGACTGCAGTTATAAACCAAAATAAACCTACAGATTTCCCACACTGTTCATCATAATAACACAGTTGTAAATGCACACATACAATGTCCTTTTATGTCTTACTAGTACTGAATTCTTGCAGAATTGTAAATAAATTGATAACAATAACATTTGACTTGTCTTTCTATAGGTTGTGTCCACTCCTCTCTTGCCCCATCAGAAGCAGGCTCTGTCCTGGATGTGTGCGCGAGAAAACAAGTCGGGTCTTCCTCCGTTTTGGGAGAAGAGGGGAGATCTGTACTACAACAGCCTGACCTGCTTCTCCTCCAAAGACGTCCCAGAGAGGGTGCGAGGGGGCATCCTGGCTGACGACATGGGGCTGGTGAGATAACAAAATGACCCTTTGTTCTTTTAAGTTACATACTAGTATTTTAAGTTTAATGTACTTACCACTCATACTCTTCAAAAGTGACAAAAGTTGACAGAATCCCTCAATTTGATATGTGATATCAACAATGTGAATAAAACAATGGACTGGCCTAGGGAAACAAAAAGGAGTTTCAGTTTGATATAATATATGAAAACTTTTATTGCCTGCAAAGGATTTGATGAAGGAGGACAATTACCACTTTTTCCATATAACACATTCTATATTATTATTCTTGATTTTTTTAGGGGAAAACACTCACAACTATTGCACTTATTCTCACCAACTTCCACCAAGGAAAGCCTCTGCCAGTTGAGAAAACCGTAAGTCTGTAGAAGTTAAAACGGTTTTAAAATGTGTACAATATATAAGTTATTTGTGTTAATAGGAGAAGTCGTCACCCACAAAGCCCCTTGTGAAGACCTCTACTAAAGCTCCACAGATTCAGCCTGAAGTCTCCAGCACTGACGGTACTGAAGGTAAAACACTGCATTATCTATATTTTTCTCCATTAAAAACGGAACACTCGGTTTAATTATTTGCAGATGTCGTCCTTGTTGGTGCGAGTGTCCCGTCTAACATGTAAGTTATCACTAAAATTGTTGGTCCACTAAACCCCTGCCAATAATTGGATGGAAACTGCAAGACTACAAATGGGCATGAGTAATGATCATTTATGCATACTATGTTCATTTGTCAACAAATACAGCCTTAGCATACACTTCACACTGCATTCTGTAGCTTTCACAGTATCACAATATCACATTATGAGAGAATTAGGGCACTCATAGCATATTATCAAATTATTCACTATATACATTTGGTTAATTGTTTTGGGATGTGTTTTTTGTAAATTAGTCCGCAGATGGAGGTGGTCTGTGCTGAGGATGCCCCTGAGGTAGTTGTGATAGAAGATGAGGCAAATAAAAGTAAGAAAACATTTTTAATTAATACACAACACTTGTAACCTAAAACATGACTTTTGTTACGTGATGTGTGTTGTCTTTGCAGAATCAAGAAAGGGAAAGAAAAAAGCCCCAAAGAGGAAAAACAGCAAAGGTAAAGTATTCAATTGTTATTTCTTACAAACTCTAAAGTAAATACATATTTTATCTGTGTAGGCAGTGTGGCGCTGATGGATAGTTTGGACTTTGCTGCAGCTCTGACTGGCTCCACCTCAAACACGGGTCAAAAGAAGATGAAATCTGACACAAACACAAGTAAAATAAACCTATGTATTTTTGTTGCAAGTGTAAAGGAATTGGATTGGGTAGAGTCGGGAGTTTTCTCTGTGTGCCTAAATCACTCTTATCTTTAGAAAGAATTTCACAAACTGGATAAAAACGCCATAACTCAATATGCTAAAAAAGAATGTTCCCCGCATTGTAACATTCATTCCACCCTTCTGGTATCGACCCTGCTATTTGAGAACTGTTATTACTCAAGAACAGCATCAATAATCCCAAATGGGAAATTATCTACAACAATAATATTATACAGAGGATGCTCATTATCACCACTATTCTTACCTCATACCACTCTTTTAAGACAAAATAACAACATATCAGACAGTAAAACATACTTCTATTACTAAAATCAATAAAACTTCACAACAGTAGCTCCATTGTTTCCTTAATGTAATGAGGAAATATGTGACTTTTTACTCTTCTGTGTTTTTTAGGTGGAGATTCAAACATCCCTCAATGTCCAGAGGATCCTTCAGCCACTGCGACTCTCATCGTTTGCCCGCTCTCTGTGCTCAGTAACTGGCTGGTACGATTATGTCCAAACAAACACCATAAACCCGAGCGACACTTCCCACTCAAGTCCAATATTTAATGCAATTGAAAGGTTTTCATTCATTCTTCATTCTTGTTATTCAAAAATGACATCAAAATGATCGCGAGTAACTTGACCAATTACTGAAAGTAACTTAACGTTTTACATATATATGTAGTGCTATGATTTTCTTTTTTTTGGGTGGGTTGAAGGTGTTTGCCATACTGCATGTGGTCACAGCAGTCAGGAAAAAGCATCTCAACTTTCCAGAAATGAAACTTATTAGGAAAAGTATCTTTGTATTTGTTTTGCAGGAGCAGTTTGAACAGCATGTGAGTGTGAATGTGAAGCTCAACATGTATTTGTACTACGGCGCTGAGCGAAACAGGAGCCAGAAGTTTCTGTCGTCTCAGGACGTAGTCATCACCACATACAACGTCCTGTCCACTGACTTTGGGGTAAGTGTCTGCCTCTGATCGCCTGCACAGGGGGCTGCACCCAGGGGTAACAAACCATGTTTTTCAGAATAAAAGTCCCCTTCATAAAATAAACTGGCTCAGAGTGGTCTTGGACGAGGGCCATTTCATCCGAAACCCCAACACTCAGATGAGCAAAGCCGCACTGGAGCTAAAAGCCTCACGACGCTGGATTCTTTCAGGTGAGATTCATAAAAAAAAGTGAAAAAATCATATCATTTTCATATCTCATTTTATTTTGAAATGAGAGAAAATAAATGCCTTGTTTGTCGAACAAATCCCACTGATAGAGACTCAAGTGTTTAAACATATCAAATTAACTGTTTGATTTGTTTTAACTGAATGGTGTTCAATGAGTAATAATTCAGAAAATCCATAATTTCAATAGTTCTTGTTAATCTTCATATTGTCAGTATCCCCCTCTTTGACCAATGGACCAAATCTTGATGGTGTCCTTCTGTCGTCAAATGCAGGTACTCCCATCCAGAACAGTGTGAAGGACCTCTGGACTCTTCTGGCTTTTCTGCGCTTAAAGCCGTTTGATGTGAAAGAATGGTGGAACAGAGTCATCCAGAGACCAGTGTTAAGGGGAGACCGCACCGGCCTGCAGTAAGGCTGTTTTATTTTATCTCTTTAACCAGCTCAAACATTGTGAGCACTAATTCTCATTTACAAACATGGCATTGTCCGAGTTCAGCATGATTATTATTAATGGCCTTGAAAATCTTTATATTGCCTCCCTTAAACTGGACGGGTTATTGATGATGTCATGTTGTGATGCCTGACGTTTAGGAATCTCCAGACACTGGTGAAGTACATCACTCTGAGGAGGACCAAGACCAGTGAGGTGAACGGGCGCCCTCTGGTGGTGCTCCCTGAGAAGACTGTCTTTGTGGAGCAGGTGGAGCTCAGTCCTGAGGAGAGAGCAGAGTATGATCTGGCCAAAAGCGAGGGACAAAACACCATTAGAAGGTACCACAGGGTTTAGAGTGTTCATATACTCCGCAAAAGGGAATGTAGATATAGGCAATTAGTAAGTAAGTAGTAAGTAATGTTTATTTATATACTGCCTTTCACAGACAAGGGTCACAAAGCGGTTTACAATTGTTACATGTATGGATTTAAAAGAGTATACATTTGGGTCACAATGAACCAGCCACATTCCGATTTGTGTTTTTTTGTAGTTGTTAAATAGCAAATAAGTATTTCAAGCCCAAGGAAAAGTTGGGAACCCTAACTCATAGAAAAGTCCTAACAATCTGAGAGAGAAAGTAAAAATCTATTTCTAATCATGTTTTGTTTGTGTTTAGGTACGTGGCTGAGGGCTCAGTCTTGAAGAATTATGCCGATATTTTGGTAATTCTAATGAGACTAAGACAGCACTGCTGCCACCCGGACCTGCCCACTAAGACCAGCTCAGAACCAGGTAGAAACAAGCAGGATTGTCAGGGTCATGTATAGTCCAAACTGGCAAGGAAACAAAACGCATGTTAGTTTTGTTGTAAACTTACATAAAGTAAAATGCCCATTAGAGGGTACAAAAAGATCATTTCAGACTCCAAAGTCTTATGTAATCCATTATTCATGCTTTTTCAGGCTTAAAAAAATATCTGAGGTACTTTGTAAAACCTAATATGGCGAATGTCCTCCTAATGTCTTCAAATATCTCAGTTTGCAATGAATGATCATACCCAATTGCAATTGAATTTTAGATGAGAAAAAACAAATGTTTTTTTGTCTGCAGGATCAGGGGCCACTGCTGCTGAGCTTCGGGAGCGTCTTATCGACAAACTGCGACTGGTGTTGGCCAGCGGCTCTGACGAGGAGTGCTCCGTTTGCTTGGATTCGGTCCGATTCCCCGTCATCACTCACTGCGCACACGTATACTGCCGCCCCTGCATCGCCAAAGTCATCAGCACCGAAGACGTACGTCACTATCTCAACTGGAGCTTTTTTTAAATTTGGTTTTTGATGAATCTAACAATTGTCTTCTTTGTGGGTTTAGCAGAGGGCACGCTGTCCTCTGTGTCGCAGTGAGATCAGGCCAAATGAACTGGTGGAAGTTCCAGCCGAGGAGGAAGAGGCCGGCACCAACACAAAGCAATGGAGGACCAGCTCAAAGGTGAACTTCAGCAATCAAAGAACAAACAATAGGCCTCTGAAAGGGACTCTTGTGAAACTGTCTCTTCATTATTGATCTTTAAATTGCTGTTGTGTGGGCCGTGTGCAGGTCCAGGCGTTGATGGGAAACCTGCTCAGACTGAGGCTCGAGGACCAGAGCATAAAGTGTCTGATTGTTTCTCAGTTCACTCGCTTCCTCACCGTCCTGGAAACTCCTCTCAGGTATTATTTACAACTAACCATCAACAACTATTAACAATGAATTATTCCTTGCTTTATGAACAAAACCTAGAAAGATATCATTTTTTTATTTCATTTTGTCAATGAACGCTGCTAATAACAAATTAATTCACACCCTTCCTCAGTCGTGTGAAAATGTCCAACGCTCTCTTTTGACTTTTGCCAGAGCGGAGGGCTTCAGTTTTGTGCGTCTGGACGGGTCCATGACCCAGAAGAAGAGGGCTCAGGTGATACAGGAGTTCCAGAGCGACGCCTCAGACAGTCCCTCCATCATGCTGCTGTCACTCAAGGCCGGAGGAGTCGGCCTCAATCTCACCGCCGGCTCCCACGTCTTTCTCATGGACCCAGTAAGTGCCATTTTTACACTTAACAAGAATATCATTTGTAGTCCCCTGTGTTCATGACACCACTGAGACATCAATCCGTTCTGGTTGTTTTTAAAGACATTTATGGATTTATTGCTCCCAATGGACCAATGTCCATGTGCTCCTATGTGTTTATTATTGGATTTATTGTTTGCTCTGACCAATCAATCCATTCACATTTATTTGTATAGCAATATTTGTGTACAAAACAATTAAAAGTGCTTCACAAGAATAATGTAAATACACAGAGCAAAATGCATTTTAATAAAAACATAAATACAATAGGAGATGCATAAATATACAACAACTTTATATTAAAAAGGGCAGTGTAACTGTATTGGACTTAACTCTTATTGACATTGGGATTTAAAAGGAGATAAATAGTGCAAAATATAGTTTTGAACATGATCAGGGTAGAGGCCTGTCGTAGAACCTCCATATTTTAGATCTGAACTGCTTCCTCCCCATGATCTGTTGTTGGTGAATTGGCAACTGCTTGGGGCTTTACAAAAATGCATTTAATTGAATGCATTTTTTTGTTAATTTAAGTACATTTTTGTGTAAAACTAATAAAATAAGATCACTGTATTGTGATCTGCTGCTGTCCTGTGTAATGGGTAATGCATAACTAAAAACATAAATACTATTTTCTGTATAAAATTGTGCAATTGTGTAAAAAATAAATTGCATTAAGAATAGCACAATTGTGTGCACACATCATATAATACTTTACACATGGGGCTCCCAGGTTTTGATTTCAAAACTATGAATTAGGTAAATTTTTGATTGAAAATAGCACACACAAATTTATTATTTTCAAACATTTTAGCTTAATTTTAACCTTTTTCTGTGCTTTAGGCCTGGAACCCAGCGACTGAGGAGCAGTGCATTGATCGCTGCCACCGTTTGGGCCAAAAAAAGAACGTTGTTGTTACCAAGGTCAGTCATGTGGAAGACTATTTCTCTAGAGAAATTTCTGAGACACAAGCCGCTCAGCCATAGACACTATTTTAGCATATTTTTAAAAATCAGAGATCGTGCACATGTTTAGAATTATCATTGATAGTTTTTGGATAATCTTATATTTTTGTTCAGTTCATTGTGAAGGATTCTGTTGAGGAGAAAATGGTGGAGATCCAGAAGAAAAAGCAGGAGCTGGTGTCGAAAGCTTTTGGAGCCACAAACAGCAGCCAGAAATCCTCACGCATCGACGACATTAAAACCCTGATGGAGATGGCGATCTGAATAAAACATGACATTAGGTTTTCGTTTTGAATAGTCAAATGTTTCAGATAAGTTATTTTTATGGTCAGTTGGAAAGTTTTTGTAATTTTAGAACTTAAGACTAGATCAAAGGCTTCATACTTCATTAACCGTTACTTATCTTCCATTTAAATTAGCTAAATATTAAAAGGGGCTCATTTGGATGGTTTAAAGTCTCGAATAACCCATGTGCTACCCCACGGTAAAATAACTAGCACATTGACCAAAACTTAGACCAGAAGATTTAACCCTTGTGCAGAGATTTGGCTGAATTAAGAATTGTCCTAACTTAACCAGCCCTGGGTTAGACTAAGACTAATTTAGGCCATTTACCTGAGGGTAGCACAAGAGTTAAACCTTGTACATATCAGTCCTGAACTCTTCTGCAGGGGTAGGACTCACTGAAATGAATGTATTAACCAGAATATGATTTAGATTAGGTGCCTACCAAGTCAGCTCTGACTTGGGTGGCAGTCAGAGCTGCACCCAATTCACTTAGCACCAGAAAGGGGCTGGTGCTAAGCCACCCCCCTGACCCAGAAACGGATTAAGGGGAAGATGGATGGACTACCAAAGCCATTGGTCTTAACATGCTTGTAAACTTCAATAAATTTAAGTATCAGTTTACAGCAAAATGTTTTTATTCAGTTTTACAGCAGAACAGACTAATACATTTAAGTTCACAGGACAGTCGTGGTCTATATAGTTACTTTAAGGCCAAACAAACTTGCCGACGTGGGACATTACAGGTTTTAGCGCCACCATTGTGAGGTAAACTGGGTAAGGCAGCCTTTTAAATGAGACGCAAGGAAAGTAAATTTAACATGCAGCAGTTACTGAAAATTAGACACATTAATTCAAAACAAATTAAAATCATGGTAATGAGTTAAACAATATTGAAAAGTACATGTGATAAAGAGGTTGTTTGGAGAAGGTGCAAGTAGACTCGATTGTCAGGAGTGAAAAAGGGAAGCTGAAATTGAATATAAATTTCTCTGGTACAGCCTTAACATCAGGAAGACTTTAGGATTGGTCCGTTACAAGTTTTAATTATTGCACATTAGCTCCTGGATTGTTGAAATGTTTAATGGACAAAAAGTTGCAATTACATACATTTGTTTTTTAATGTGAAAATTCCATGTACACAGAGTGAGACTGCAATTGGCCGAAGAGTTTAAATTCCCCAGGAGTGCTCCATTATGTCCATGTAAAGTGCTGGCGGCTACTTCAAAAATGTGTCAAGTTTGCGTTCAATGTTGGCGAATGAATCGTCCCCCATGTAGTCGATCTGGCCAGCCTCCCAGCGCTTCTTCCGCTCTTCAGATGAAAGCTTCTTGGGTTCAGGGGCAGGGGCAGCTGCCTGGTGGGTTAAGTCTTCATATTCATGCTGAAAAGTAAAGAGGTACATTTATTAAATCAGTTTCCACAAGAGTAGAATTCACTGCCCCACTATTCTAAATGCACTTCATTTTTTTCTATTTAGGGTCATGTGCCACCAAATTTTTGAAAAATGTACAGGCTCATTATTAAACTATTTGATGTAGGCTTGCTCAAATACATGTTAGAAGTAATAACAGATTTACATTTTGAGCCGAGCCATGATCAGGTGGGCCAACTTTGTTATAAATGCCCAGTACTGAGATCACATGGGATCTTTGGCTGTACTATAGTTGTGAAGACAATGCTTTATAAGGGCTGGATTTCTTTCCAGTTTGGCTTCTGGCATTTCCTCTGTGCAATCTTTATCCCCCACCCCCTTGAACACTGGCAGGAAACAAGTGCACTTCGCAACATTTACCTGAGTTTAAGGCCTCAAGGTCATTTTTAAATAGACCAGTGATTTAGAACTTTAATATGGCCAAGATAAAGAACCATCCAAAAAAATTAACTTTCCCACGTGTTTGAACGCAATTAAACCTTGTGCTAAAGACTTGGACAAACTTATATGGAGATATATTTCTGGATCAAAGACTGAATTTATACATGGCTATTTATCTTCCTGTGAAATGAAGGGCATCCATTTTAAAAGCTGCTACTAACACTATTCCAGAAATGAGAAAGTGAGGACAACATGACCAGGAGTTAGTCAAGAGCGCTACATACTTAAATAAGCAATAACATACAAGTACAAAACTTCCAAGAATGATAAACACTACAAGTTTGACACATTTCCAAAACAAGACATCGCAGTACTTAATTCACTGCAGTTACAAAAGGATTGCAAACTTCCTGCAGTGGTTCTCATGAACATGGCAGTGTGAAAGTAATGAATTTTTAGTATTTAGACATTACTTCGTAGGCTGACCGGTTACAATACTCTGGAAAAGTCATGTTGTCACACAGTAATGACAAACTTCATGACAGAACAGTTTACCACACACACACTATCGCTTAATTTATTGCGTATGTTGAAACTTCTGTTTGGTGAACATGTACAGACAGATGTGGCTCTAGAGACACCAAAGTACCTTTGTGCATGTGGCAACTTTATGAAATTGCAGTCACGAGTTTGATAACTTTAGATTTAAAAAAATAAAATAGTACACAAATACTTGTTCAGTGCATCTTTATGACCTAGGCGTGTGGAGAGTTACCTGGACAAAGCCGCTGCTGAAGGGTTCGTCTCTGTAGGCCGACTTCAGGAGGGGGGCCACAGACTTGGTGTAGAGCTGCCACCACAGGAGCAGGTAGTCTGGGTGCATGTGTGCAGACTGCTGCGACACAGAACCTTTGACTTCTCCCTTCTTAGTGTCATAAGAGTAGCTCCACGGCTTCACCTGACCCAGAAAGTGGACCACTTTGGCATTATGACCGTACCTGTAAATCAGATAGTATGTAGGATTAGGTTAAAGAGAATTTCCTTTATCACAAGTATAGTAATTTGCCTTTTTTATCTTTAAGGAACCAAAGAGGATTCTCATTACATTTTTCCAAAAAATAAAATAAAAAGCTTTGAACTTGATTGGAGCATTCCCTTTATAAAATCATGCCAACATTTTTTTTTTGCAGCTCATTAAAAAACTAACTAAAATAGTGTTCTAAAGGGAAAGTATGTGCTCCTGCCATGTCCAGTTTATTTGCACACGAACACAGGCCAAGGGGGGGAAAATTGGAACCAAAACACTGATGAAAGGAAAGTCCTGATGCATTGTGAGAGACTGGACACGAGCCAGTCTGGTCACTCACTGTTTAAATGCTGGTAAATAAGAGTAGATGGCGATGCTGCTGAGGTTATAGATGAATGGAAGGTGCTTGGAAATGTCAGCTGTTGCCCAAGTGCTGAAGTAACTGTTCAGGACGCCTTGGTCACCACCTGCAAAGAGAATAAAAGTTACATTGACCTACGCAAAGGCTCAGATCTTTTGCTTAAAAGCTTTTAATAAAATATAAAAAAGGGGAAGTGGGAATCTTAAATAGTTCAGACTTCATAACTGCCACCATGCTCAGATTCTACAAACATTTTAAAATGCATTTGCACCGTCAAAGCTGCCGTTTTCTGAACAAAAGGTGAGCAGCTTGTCGTGCGTTTCGTTGGATGGCCTGAAGACAAACACTCCTGAGTTGAAGCAGTCGGGCCAGCCGGGGTCTGGGGCAGCAGACAGCTCCTCCCTCTCATACAGCTCATCGATGTTGGACAGCACCTGGACACAGTCACAAGCTCTCAATCTACACAATGAAGGTAACCAGAAGTGTTCACTCCAGATTAAGGTAAAAAAAATAAATAGGTGACGTTATGCAAAATCAAAGTAAATACTTGCCCTTTTTGTGCATGCTTTGAGACGCTAAATACATCACTTTCAGAAGCTTCTAGGCTACTTTTTTTTTATTGGTTTAAACAAAAAGTAATTCTTATGAAAGGAGTTCTATACGTTAAGTCAGGATCCTGTGGGCCTGGGCCTCACTCACCATCGTGTCTGCGTCCATGAACACACACTTGCTGTACTGTGTGAGGGTCCAGCAGTGCAGCTTTGTAAGAGTCACCCCCAGATCCGGACGCTTCATCAGGGCCAGGTTTGCAGTGTCCCCAGAGTCCAACACATTCACCACACACACCTCATCGAAGATTGTGTTCAACGCCTCTCTGCAATGAACATCGCAGGGCATGGAAAATTAGTCAAGTTTACTTCTCAGAACCATTGACGATGCTTTAGGTCTAAGCAGGCAGATATCAGCGATCACTGAATATGCAGAAAACCGACTTGTTAAAAGTTATATCTTACATGCAGCAGTCTGTGACGTGGGGTCCAACAAGTGCTACTAGTTTCCGGTTTGTGTGGTGGTTCCTCAGAGACTGTCCTAGAACCATGGCTCCTTTGGCATAGCTGTCGCTGGTCGCCAACGTAACAAAAGCTTCCTCTGGAAAATAGACAATGAAGTGTCACAGTTGCATGTAGGAATAATGACAATGTTTACCATAGTCATTTGAATGGACAATCTGCAACGTCCCCATGCTGAACTCAGAACACTTGTGTAGAGTGCAGATGGGTTCTTTCACAAAGTGCATGAAGCAAACAATTGTGACCAAGAAAAGAAAATAACCAATGAAAAAAAAAAAAAACTGTCGGACTAGAATCCATATTTGATGAACATGTCCCTACAGAAAAAAGCCAAATAAAATAAGGGACAGGATGTGGTCTGAGCAGACATTTCAGGAAGTTTTGTTCATACTAGAGTTACTATTTTCTAAGCTTGTTAACTACACCATGACATTTTTCTATTTGAGAAAAGCCATAAACTCCAAAACAGCACAAAAAGGTCATTCCAGAGCCATTACCTCGGCACATGCCCACTGTGTTATCAATTGAGGTCAGATAAGAGCCAGTGTGAGGCAACAAGAAACAAATGGTAAACTTAGAGCAACCTTCTAGTTAAGGCTAGGGTTAGTGAAGCATGCACTCAAACCATCATCCAAAAGTAAAGATTGAAAAGTTAAGAGTGCACCAATGGAACCTTCATCCAAAAGAAACTAAGGATGGGTGAGTGCAAAATATTCACATGATTAAAACTAACATTGAGAGACACTAGACACATTCTTGCACAGCCTGTGATTGTTCCACAGAGACAGCTTGTCAGAATAGGGGGAGGACTGAGAAAAAAAAAAACTTGAGGCCAACACTTGCTGGAGCACGTACACCAGAGCCACTAAGCAAAGTTTACACAACTCACCCTCACACAGGAAGTCACAAGAGATACAAATAAAAGCACGTTTACCTTTACTCCCAAGGTTTTAAGATGACTAGTTACAAAATAAAAACAGGTTAAATGGCAAGTCAGGCGTCCAAGTATTTAGAATCACAGTGATAGCCACACTTCTAGATTCAGATTATAATGCAGCAGTTTAGTATTCACATTATCCCTGTATGAACCAATTTTACAAAATGTGAGCAACAATATGAAGTAGTTTGAAAATCTTTAATATAGTTTGTTTTATTTTAAAGCAAAAAGGTTCACTTTTTACTCTGGTAAAAGTTATCTTTAAGTAGATATCCAGGACCCACTATATTCTTTCAAGGGAAAAAAAAAAAAAAAAAAAAGGGACCATGGTTAAAGTTTACTATACCCAACCCATACCAAGCAGTACCATTCCAAAGACAACATTTCCAACATTTCACATAAATGCATGTGATGCCTTTTATTTTGAATGAATAGACCCATGAGAATCAGAAGTTGCCTGTGCGTAATCAAAGAGTTCAAAATGGCACTCCTCCAGCTGCCAAACGTGGACACGCTGTCCCCAACCAACATATTTAGAGTTTTTAAACCAAGGATAATAAACACATTGTTAAAATGAAATTAACTCCTAAAGCATGCACATGACAAGACCATTTTGTTTAACTTTGAAATCCTTGAGCGGATAGTCAAATGATGCATGTTGGTACATTTCCTTTCGCTCCAAATACGCTGCAAATCATCAGCTGTAAATCATCAGCTGTCTAAAAATATAAACTCAAAATTCTTTCACGGTTTAAAATCTTTTCACGCTGGTTTTAGTTTGATTTATGCACGCGTTCCCCCACTGCGACACTGCGCTAGAGACCACATCTACACGACCACCTGTGCTTTAGGAATAACGCAAATAACTGAGGAAGAGGCCATCACAGTCAGCCTCAGTGCACAGAGAGGATCAGGGGAAGTTTCTCATACCGGACATGGTGCTGCAGAGGCGGGGGACGTGTTAGAAGGGCAGCCGGGGTCCTGGTCCTGATGATGCGGGCAGGTTTGTGCTGCGAAGGGCACAAGCTCAGCAGCTGAGAGCAATCCAGCACGGGATTTAAGCAGAGCATGTTCCGGGTCACGTGATCGGAGCAGGCAGCGGACACACCCCCTTCACTTTTAGTTATTTATTATTTTTGGCAGTTTGTGGCATGGATCTGGTTTGTGGTGGTATGCAAGAGTGGGCTAATGATTTAAAGATATTTATACTTTTATTGTGGGAGTGGGAGGTTGGATTTGTATGTGTAGTGGCTGAGGTATCTCCGAAAGTCTAGACGTCTTCAAGGATTAAGTGTTAATCAGGCTCAATTTGGTTTGAGTGATGCTCGGCTTTGTCTGTATATTGTTTTTGGTGAAAGGTGTGATATGATAAATGAGGATGCATCTGTTTTATATTGCGCTTTCTTGGACACTGGAAGAGGCGTCTCATGGCATTATCTGTAAACTCACACTGCTACAGTACTTTTTCATATTAATTGTTTATAAAATACCTTGCACAACAGACACTATATTTTTTCACTTTTTAACATATTTTCACTTTTCCTGTTTGTGCATTCCTGTCTTTCTGCAAAATGTATAGAACATTAGTAGTGTTCTCCCTTGTGAGATCAGACAAGTTAATCTGATTTTATTCATTCACTTGTAGTAGTGGTAGTGGAGCAGACAGACGTAAGTGAGGCCACTAATCTGTCTTGTACAACAACAACAACAACATGCTGGCACTTTACACCTGCCACACTGAGGCATCTGTTCCTAGAGGTCTTTCCTGCTCAGCTTCCGTATTGAGTGAATGTATAAAGCCAAGGGTCTTGGACTGTTAAGAAACAATCAACAGATACATTATTAGAACATTTAGGATTCTGGGGTCTTTACTCTCCAATCTTGGCCCTCATTATCAGTACGATAAAATAAAAAGCTATAAAGCCAGGGACTGTGAATTAAATTACATATGCCTTCAAGGGGAAAAACCTCAACATAACAATACTTGGAGCAAGAGTGCCTCTAAGTGGACACATCTACATGTTACAACAAGGAGTCAACTGTAGTGATTGACCCTTAAAAAGACTAAATGATTTTCTTACTACTATTAACTCTTTCAAAGTTGTTCTTTACTTGCAGGATAAATACCAGTAAAACACAACTTGACTTTGTAATAAGTGTATGGAAAACCAAAATATTGAGATTAATAAGAAGCTGGTTTGGTACATTTACTAAAATTATTAATTCTTAGTAAGTTTATTTTGGCTGCCGCTATTGTTCAAGAATGTACCTCATCAATAAGCTTATTGTTTCTCATTTTATCTCACTACAAAGGCTTACATCAGACCTGTTTGTCTATTGTGCACTGGATATCTATGGCTGTAACTTCAAACTGCAAACAAACTGAGTCTTCTCTTCCTGTAGTCACCAGGTAAGTGTTGCGGTCAAAACAGAGTACTTTTAACCACCTTCTTTAACTATACCTTGATTATTGACTTTCCTCTGTCATTGCTGCAGTTGTGGCTGATTCACTCACATCATAGTGTGCTTGTGTTGCTGAAATCCAGTGAATTATTGAGGAGGCTTATGAGAAAGTCTTTACACTTGTGCAGCAGCGTGGCTTGGCTGATCCCATCAGTCTATTTGCCTCCCGGTCAGCCCCGCAGCTGCCTGTGCACCTATCCCAGAACAGAGCTTTTGAGGAGGTCGTAATCCGAGCACTGGCTGAAATCAGACCTGTGGGTGACACAGCAACAAGGAAGACTTTCTAGACAATTGAAGAAAGATGAAAGCCATGGAAGCCCCAAGCCATGATCCAATACACAGGTAAGATCTGAAAATAGTTGTGTGAGTTTACACAGGCAGTTGAATTCTCTTTTTGAATTTATGCAAAGAAGGAGACAGAGAAGGTGCAGCAGTTTTATGTAACATCGAATAATACACAGAAAACTACTGCACTCTCTGGACCTTTTTATACGACCCATAGAAAATAAAGTGGACCATAATAGCCCTGCATGTGTGTATGTAAGATCCAAGCTGTATCAAGTTGTATTCAACTCAATTCCATTTGTTTTGGTACAGCCCTAATCACAACAGTAGTTATCTTGAAGGACAGTTGTAAATTCACCAACACTGATCAGAGAATCAAAAAGGTCAAACAGGAAATGCAATAACAACAAAAATACACGAGCCATTGGTGCATAAGGGGCGGATGACCAATGTCCATAAATGATAATAAATGTCCATAAATGTCCTTAATTGTTAACATACCAAGGGGGGCTGCATGTTGAAAAAAAGCCTAATTACATTTTGTGGCTTCCTTCTACAATCCAGAAAAGGACAAACCCATCTCTATTGGATTTATTGCATTTAGACAAGTAATTTGACAGAATACAAGAAGAAAACAGTTGTGATTGCATCATATTGTCCTCCTTTTTCGCACAGTCCAAATAAAAATGAGAAATTCATAAACTAAAACGACAATTTTATCTTTTAAACAAGGTGGGACTGAACAGATAAGGACAATAAGGAAGTTCTGTGAAGTTTAATCCAGTTTAAATGTTATCCACTGATACCATTGGTTCCTATAGTTTCAGGTTTCAGCTCCTTGTGAGAGAACACACCCGTCATGTATAAAACATTATTGGAGTTATATAAAATATAAAAAAAGACACTGATCAAGAAAAGGTTTTTACCCTTTATTTACAGATGATTGTGAAATGCAAATTCAAATTTTTTTATTTTTATTTTTTTTAATACACTGAGATAGTTAAAAAGCATTAGCAGTATAATACCAAGCTTTATTGATGCATTCATTTGTTCATTTTGCAGATAGGTTTAATTAACAGTGGTGCAGTTTCATTGTAGATTCCAGCTCAGTGTGTTAGGTAATTAATTAACACATTCCCAGTGGAGGTAAAAGAATAATTGCTGTCATGATAATTTGTTTCTATTTATTTAGTGTAAAAGATGAAATTGATCAAATTGATTTCTGAGTGGAGTTTGCATGTTCTCCCCGTGTCTGCGTAGGTTTCCTCCAGGTACTCCGGTTTCCCCTACCACAAAAAATATGCTCAATATCTAAAATCCTCCTGCTCCGGTAGTCCAGACCAAGCCGAGCATTAACATCTAGAGATAGGTTCCCATGCGCTGTACTACGGCGGCCACTGCTCCTGACGTAAGCCTTAGTGGCATCAGGATGGGTCAAATGCAGAGGATGAATTTCTCTACGGGGACAATAAAGTGCACATTTACATTTACAATTAAATGTATGTACTGTATGCATTTATGTTGCCTATATCGGTCTATTTATTTGGGCTGCTCAATATTGGAATATTGTCCTTCCCCAAAATTATCACAAAGATTTAGCAAGTTCTGAGCTGTCTCTTCTCCTGCAACGTTGTGTTTGGTTTTGTATCAAGGGTCTGGGGACTCAAGCAGCAACGTTTATGCAGGAAAATACATACATCAATATTGCATTTGCCATCTTTTAGATTTATATTTGTGTTGCATTTACTGCATAAAAACTTTAGAAAAGTAGGTGCAGAAAACAAATCCTTCACCTTAAGAATATCTTTGACATATATTGGAAAAACAAACACATAACTTTGTTGCCTATAAAAGTCATAGGTTCATTAAGCCAAAGAAAAGGCCATTATAAGATAAGGCACCTCCCTGTGCTCCCCTTCGGCTGCTTCTACCTCAGCTGTAGCTCAGCGGCAGATTGTGGTGCTACAGACAATAAAGATGATGACACAGCTGAGGTGTTAAATGTTAACAACAGGACTACGCCTGTGCCAGGTCTAAAGGTCCAGTCTCTGCTGAGTGACTGAGACGACCACAGCCTCCGGCACCAGGGCCCTGGATCAACTCGCCCATCCACAAACGGGACAGGCCCAAAACAGGACTCTTCACTGGGAAATCAACACACCCGCTACACACAAGGTATAGAAGGATATGAATCATGATTAGGTATATTTTACAAGTAGATATGGAAGATATTAGAAGTAGCATTAGCGAAAAAGTTATTGTGCTCAAATTTGTCCATAATAATAAATGTAACTTGTACAGGATCCATAATTGTCACAGAATATTCCACACTGTGGCATAAATCTATAGAACTTTTGAAACTCTATTCAACTGGAGGTGTTTTTATCGATTTAAAAAACACAGCCTCTCCCAATATGACCTTTAACTTGGGCTAGTGATGTCATTTGTTTGACTACATAAAGAAACATAACATACAAGCCTCCAGGCTAAAGCGATAGCAATGGGACAACTGTTAGTACCACTTTAATACTGTGATAAATCAAGATTTGTATATACACTTATTCATTCTTGCATAACTTTATCCTTGGATCACCTCAAGCACTTGATTATGTAAAGATCCTGAGTGCATACTGCCACACGTCCCTGGGCGCACGTTCAGTCCTAAAACATTTCTTTTGTCGACAAATGCACTATAAGTACTTTCTAACAATTGAGGCTGCATGTGGTGCACCAAACAACTAGTTGACAACAGTTAATGGACTTACAAGGGTTGTTGCAATTATTGTCATCTATATGTACAATCAATATTTCTTACAATACAATATTGTATTTCTTCAGCGTAAGCTACCGTGGATAATGTCATGTATTATCATTTGCTCATAGTAGTAGTAGTAGTAGTAGTAGTAGTAGTTGCAGTAGTTGTGGTAGTTATATTTGTACTAGTAGTAGTAGTAGTAGGAGTAGTAAATGTCAGTTATTTTCCTCATTCAAACATCTATTATATTTGAGATTGTAACAGAAATGAAAAGCCTTGCTCAGATATGAATGCTTTACATAAACACACTTTTCCTATTACCAGTGCTTTTCTTCACAATTGCTTTTTGGACAATTGATAGGATATGATTTGTTAGCCCTATATGTTTCTATTTGCACATAGTTGCTGTTTTTGTTTTAGGTGCAAGCAACAATGGAGAGCCACATCACTCAAATCTCCCGTGAGGACCTGGAAGACCTCAGAGATGCCTTTAATAAAATCGGTCAGTTCACACTCGCCTCTCTGACTCCTGTACGCACTGACCGCAGTTTTACTAGAGCCATAAACCACAAGTCTCATATAAGTTTGCACTGCTCCAAGAGTGATTATGCCTATTATGGATAGGACATCTCAAGATTTATAACCCAAATCAATCATATAAATCATGTGTTATAGTATAGTACATTTATAGTGAACTTAATAGTACATTATTGGATGTGCTCTACCGCCCAAATGAACATGTGTTTTTATAGGGAGAAAAGTAACAGCTAACAGGATATTTTAAAAAAAAGCTAAAAAGAAAACAGCTAATAGTTGTAGGCAGCCTTGTATTCTCATTATGTCCACAAAAAAGTGATGACATAAGAAAGAAAATGAAAAACTCCCTTTTATGGCTGCTGCTTGTAATGCTAAGATAATTGAGGTTATCAATAAACGTGATCATATCTTTTAGAAACAATTACATTATTATTATAATTAATTATTGTTCGTGTATATCACATTTTCTCATAGTAGTAGTAGTAGTAGTAGTAGTAATAGTAGTAGTTATTTCAGAGGACTTGACAAAACCATTGACTTTGTCAACACAGATCAGAGAATCAAACAGAAATAAAAAGATAATAACATTAAAGAAATGGAATATGGAAAAAAAAAAAAGTGTCCATACTCCAAAACTGTAAAACTTCATCATATCTGTTGAAAAAGGTTGTAAAGTTATTAATGTACTTTGTCATTCAGGAAGCTGGTCACATATACATAGACAACTTGTGTAAGCACTCGTAGTGTAGCAGTGCTCTGTGCTGTTTCTTTCATCTTACAATGAGAGTAACTGTAAAATACACTGTTATAACATTAAAGGCCTTTTACGGCTGTCTCCTAAACTATGAACGACACCTTTGTTCTAACTCTTTTTACACCTATTACTACAACGCCATATAAAAGCCATATCTAGTTAGCCTTAGATGTTCTATAGATTTGACACTACAAATTATAGCAGCTATTGTAATTGGAGCATATACATTTTCATCATTTTGACTGAGCAGGCAAACAAATGGATACCCACTTAATTTCTCCATTGTCATAATATTTTCTGTAATGTTGAAAGCATTCAACAGCTAAATGTATGGGATGAGATATGAAGCATTAATAAAGCCCCATCGTAGAAGTACTGTATCTCTTGTACGTGTTGTGCAGACATCGACAACAGCGGGTTCGTGAGTGACTTTGAGCTGCAGGAGTTGTTCCGAGAGGCCAGTTTCTCCATCCCCGGATACAAAGTGAGAGAAATCATGGAGACGTTCATCGCAGGAGACACCAACAAGGACGAGAAGATCAGCTTTGAGGAGTTTGTCTCGGTGAGTGCAAGGAAGAAATGCAAACCTGACATTTACATAAGCTGTGTAAAAGACAAATGATTTATTACTTTCCCGGTCTGAAATTAAACTTCTATTCATATCAATTCAATGTTTTATTGTATAGCCCTAAAACACAACAGTATTACTCTGGAGGACTTTGCAAAGCCGTTGAATTCGCAGACACAGATCATAGAAAAACCGTTCAAACATAAGAAAATATGTGTTTGAACTGTTTTGAACTGTTCCAGTAAGTAATCTGATTTGTCTGGATTACTTACTAGAATTATGTTAATTCTACTTTCGTCTATAATTGAGATATCAGACTTGCGGTGTCTTATTATAGTCAGAATACAATTAGATGCCCCTTTGGCTTGTTGCAATTAGCTTCACCGCAGGGAAGGTATTGACCCCGTACCGACCCAGGCCGTTCTGTTTAGAATTTGCATGTTTCCACCTGTGTCTGGGTTGGTTTCCTCCGGGTGCTCCAGTTCCCCCCACCACACAAAACATGCACTAGAGATAAAAGCATCCAGCTCCGTCCTGGCCAAAAAAATCATTATCTGTAGATGGGTCCCTGGGCAGGTTTCTGGCAAAGAAGCATGGGTCAAATGTAAAGAACTATTTTCTCTACAAGGACAACAAATACAAACTCAAAATATATTTACAAATCTGAAATCTATCTTGTGACTTCTTCATCAGATCTACCAGGAGTTGAAGAGCAAGCAGATCAGTGAGACATTTAGAAAGACCATCTCCAGGAGGGACGGGATCCGCTCTTTTGGAGGTCTGTCTGGAAACTCCTGTGAGGGCACGCAGCACTCCTACTCAGGTAAAGTCAGAGTCCAACGCAACAAGATGTCTTCCACTTATCATAAGGAAACTGGTTATTGACGAGGATTATAATATACTGTAGATGGTTTAAGCTGTGACCATCTGTTCTGTTTCTGGTAGTTTTGCACAACCATCGTGGCCTCAAACCCGATCTATTTAAGTCTACCTTCACTTTTCAGAGGAGGAGAAGGTTGCGTTTGTGAACTGGATCAACAAAGCTCTCGCCAAAGACCCCGACTGTGAGCACCTTCTGCCCATGAACCCCAGCAACGAGAGCCTGTTTGCATCTGTACGGGACGGCATACTGCTATGGTACTGCATTTATATATTATATGGTCTATCCCTTTTTATCATTTTGATATTACTGTAATTTTTCTTTTTTGTAGCAAAATGATAAACTTGTCCCAGCCCGACACCATTGACGAAAGAGTCATCAACACAAAGAAACTGACGACTTTTAAAATGAGGGTGAGAATACTTTAACATCGAGCAGCTGTGGTTCAGAGCAAGCCCCAACATAAGGAAGTAATCTGCAGGAAAATACCTACTCCTTATCAATTCACTGTCCTTCATTCAAACTGCACATGCAAGCATTACAATACTGCACTGAATATTGTTGTAAACCAAAGTCCTTGATTGTTGAAGATTTACAATGCTTCATACATTTCATCATTGGGAATTGTTAAGCACTAAACAGAATGTTTGTTACCATTATTTCTTGAATTATTGAAAAAAGGATTTCGCTAATGTCTATGAAATAAAACCTCTATCTACTGATGCTTTGACATTAAAGCTATTTGAACCATAAAGTTGCCCAAAAATACTATGTAGAAACACATGGGAAAACAACTTGAGTTGAGTACTGGGAGGATTTTGTTTATACAGGCTTTCATACTGAGGTAAAACCTACATGTATTTACAGGTACATAGATTCATGCACTGACAGACTGTTTGCAGGAGAACCTGGTGCTGGCCCTGAACTCAGCCTCTGCCATCGGCTGCACCGTGGTCAGTGTGGACGCACATGATCTGATGGCCGGAAAACCCCACCTGGTGCTGGGCCTGTTCTGGCAGATCATCAAGGTCGGACTGTTCGCCGATATAGAAATCAGCAGAAATGAAGGTCAGTTAACTCAGTAGTTAAAGTGTGTTTATAGTTTCATAATGGTTTATTCAAATTTTATTATTTGGTCATTGGTAAAAGTAACGCAAATGTGGTGATACTCACTGGAGCTAAAACAAATGATTAGTTTATTGCCTTCTCTAAGGAGGCTGTGGTTTCGTCACGTTTTTTTTGTCTGTCTGTTTGTCTGTCAGTTAGTTTGCATCATATCTCAAAAAGTTATGAGTGGAAATGAGACAAGGAACTACTGATTTTGGTGATGATGTCATTTTTGTCTCTGGGCCATGCTCCACGAGTGCTTTGCTCATTAATAGAATGTTCTTACTTGATATTTATCATTCAAATTCTGTTCATTACATACAAAAAACATCTTTCTCCAAGAGGGACAACTGATTGAAACTAGCTATTTAGCCATAATCTAAAATTTAATGAGTTTGATCATATAATATGACTGGGTTAGGGTTCATCTATTCCTGTTACTTATATGACAATAAAAATGATTCTGATTCTGATTCTGAATGGAAGTTTGTTTTGTGGTCCAGCTCTGATCTGTTTGCTGACGGACGGGGAGCAGCTGGACCGCCTCATGTCTCTGTCTCCCGAGGAGCTGCTGCTGCGCTGGGTCAACTACCACCTCCGCAACGCAGGCACCCAGACCATCAGCAACTTCAGCGAAGACATCAAGGTACCTCAAACCACAGTGGCCATTTACAACTAAGTATTGAGAAAATGCTTTGAAAAAAATTCCAATTTGTTTTAACTGATGATGAAACATGAATTTAAGTATTATTTTCAGTTGTGGTTAAAGTGGCGTGCACAATTTATATCCTTAATTCAACAACTAATTTATTCATGGCCTAAAATATTAACTTTTTAAAGGCTGTTTTAAATGGGGGAACTTCGTAGCTTCAGCAGACAAAAGCTATGAATATACTAATGCTATCATGGGTGTCATTAGGCCTGTATGAGTAAAGTTATGTTTCTTTTCTCATTCCAGGACTCAAGAGCCTACTTCTATCTCATGGATCAAATCGCACCCAAAGGAGGAGACTTCAGAATGAGCGTCAAGATTGATCTGAGTGGCATCAATGTAGGTTTAAATACATGGCAACAGGTCTTAATGGTGGCCTTTTATGTCTGGAATTGGGCATTGTTGTAGTTTAGTTGTGAATCCAAAAGCAAAGCTAAACATAGCACGCTCAACAGATGTAAGTTTTCTGTTTTGCTAATTTGAAATGATTGGCCTTTCTATTAAATTGTATGTTTTGATTTTGATTTTTATGAATTCTAAAAACATGAATGCGTGCACTGAATTTCTGATATAATAATAATCCACCTATACAGGAGCGTAACTTGGAGAAACGCGCAGAGCTGATGCTGCAGCAGGCCGCGCGGCTCGACTGTCGACAGTTTGTTTCGCCTCAAGACGTGACTTCAGGGAACAGCAAACTGAACATGGCCTTCGTCGCCAACCTCTTCAACACCCACCCGTCTCTCCAGAGGGGGGACATGAACGGGCTGGACATGGCTCAAATCGAGGGTGAGGCTCAAAGTTCAACCAGAAACAGCTGATAGAGGGCCGTCACATGGTACATTTATATGTTACATGTGCAGTCAGAGTTGAGGTGATTGGTCCATTAGCTGCAGTCAGGTTTAGGTTTTACTTTAGGAATACATATTAGGTAATATTATTGACAATTAAAATGACAATTCAACTAATTACGTTGCTTCTTTATGTTTAAGAAAGTGAAATATTTTATTGAATAGTATTTTTTTGGTGAAACAAGTAGGCATTGCATTTATTATTGGAAAACACATCCATGCTATTTTAAGGAGCGTTGTGTCTGAAATTGACATGACTGATTTCTGGGCAATATATTTTTTAAAGGCAGAAAACTGCTTTCAGCATGACGTCCCAGTGGTACAATGACAATATACCAGTGCAGGACTGAGACAGAAACTTTTAGACAGAAGGGGCGGAATTACCGTGGTTGTATGTAAAAAGGATGGATCTGTTTTTAAGGAGGATACAGTGTTGCTGGTATCTTGATGGTGTCCTTTTTTTAATATTATTGTGCTTATTATGTCTCCTAAGTAAATATTTACTAGCAATTAACTATGACATAAGTGAAGGTAATGCAACCATTAACATACATAAGTGAAATACAACCTTTCAATTGTACTTGAGTAAAATAGTAAAAGGTTTTTATGTTGTGTAACACTTTAAAATAGTGAGTGGAAAGTACAGATTTTTAGGTTTTTTTTGGGTGCTCCGGTTTTCTTTACCACAAATGTACAATTGCTACCCCTCTCTCTGGGGCCAGGACTCCTCTGAAAAAGACATTCTGAAATCCCCGTGAAGGTCAATGAATTTAAAAAATGTGTTTTGGCACTGGGCCTTCATCGGGGCATTCATCTGGACATGGCTGCCTCCATATTTTCAAATCCTCCAAAGCATTGAGGTAAAAATATCAAAACATTCCAAGTAGTTATCTCGTACAGCTCCAGTTTCTATGGGTAAATCCACCTGACCCCATATGAAAAAAATTATATATATATTTTTCAGTCAACTAAACCATAGAAGACTTGTGCATATATTCATTCATCAAACTCCCCAAACCAAATCTGTATTTGCACATTTCCCCCAATAAAATGATAAAATGATAAAAGTCTAACTTGTTCTAAAACGTGTGCAGTTAATCACTAACGCGTACAGTTACTATCTGTAGATAATTGCTTTATTATTCATGACTTACAGATACAATATTGTTTGTTGGATAAGTTGTGACAATGTATTCATGTTCCCTTTTAGCTGAAACACGAGAAGAAAAAACCTTTCGCAACTGGATGAACTCACTTGGGGTTTCTCCATACGTCAACCATCTATACTGGTAAAAACAAGCAAGCAATATCCGAAACATGGTTAACAGTTACATTCAACATTACGTTCGTGTTCTGCAGGGATCTATGTAACGGTCTGGTGATCCTGCAGCTGTTAGAAAAGGTTGGTGTCCTCGTAAACTGGAGGAAAGTCAACCATCCACCGTACCCTGCACTGGGAGGCAACATGAAGAGAGTGAGTGTGCTAGGATTCGATATGTGGGAAAGATCAAATCCATTAATCATATGTTACATGTTGAAATAGCTTGAGAATTGTAACTACGCTGTGGAGCTGGGCAGAGATGTGGCACATTTCTCTTTGGTTGGTATTGGAGGTCAAAACATAAATGAAGGAAGCGCCCTGCACACTCTGGCCCTGCTGTGGCAGCTCATGCGGAGGTACATTTAAATCATTTTCAAGGGCTCAACAATATAAAATACAGTGGAAAACACAGGTGTTTTTGATTACCAATGATAACACAAAATGAGGCAATACTTATGCCACATTTATTAATAACTGGTGAGAAGAATAGAAGAAAACGTCAAAACACGTACATTTATTGTCTAACCAAATCCTTATGTCAGTTTCACAACTTTGAGAAGTAATTATTTTAAATTATTTACATTACTTTCTACAGAGGTTAATTTCAGACAGTAAGAAAAATAAGCTATACACAGTGTACGTAAACTTCCATTTTCAAACTATGGGTTAAACGTTTCAGAAATATCATGAGCTGTTTCAATTCTTACAATTCATGTTGCAATTTGATCATACTATCCCCGACCAAAAATCTATGAACACGTAAATCTTTTCTTAAAAATATGAAAACACCCATTATACTTGGCTAACTGCAGTAATTACAGTATAAACCAGGGATAATGTAACAAAGCTCCTTCATTTAAACATCAAACGTAAAATGAATGAACGTTCTCTTTCGTATAGATACACTGTTCTGGTTCTGTCTGATCTCGGGGACGGAGAGTGTATCGCAGATGCGATCATCTTGAACTGGGTCAACAGCACGCTCAAACGCAAAGACTCCCAGATCAGCAGCTTCAAGGTGACGACATGAGTGGGATGTGTGATCCAAACTTTTTCTCAAAACAGTGAGAAATAAGAAAATAACTAAACTTGTATATACTCTGCCATGTATAATACTAATGAATACATATTGGCCTAGTACAGTATGAATGTATTGTAGTCTTTGAAAATATGTTGGAAATAGTAAAACGTCAAGATGATAGAACACGTATTTCAATTGTTAAAATATGTTCTTTGTAATTTGTAACAGGACAAAAAGATCAGCACCAGTCTACCTGTTATTGACTTGATCGACGTCATTGCTCCTGGGACAGTCAAATGGGACATGGTGGTGAGAAACGAGAGAGGAACACTGACCAAGGAAGACAAACTCAACAATTCCAAGTAAATACAGTTATTATAACTTATTGTTTATCCACGTTTTTTCTAAGTAAGTAAGTAAGTAAGTAATGTTTATTTATATACCGCCTTTCACAGACCAGAGTCACAAAGCGGTTTACAATTGTTATTTTTTGGGCACTTGTCCTCTCACTCCACACAGAGATGGGAGCGGGGTCGCCGAACAGGAGGCGCATGCCAGACCTATTGTACATATTTTTAGTGGTAGGGGAAACCGGAGTACCCGGAGGAAACCTACGCACACACGGGGAGAACATGCAAACTCCACTCAGAAAGGCCCCGGTCCGACCGGGATTCGAACCCAGGACCTTCTTGCTGAGAGGCGAGAGTGCTAGCCACTCAGCCACCGTGCCGCCAATTTCTGTATAAATTTGTCAATTTTTTACAGAGATAAAATATGTTGATGCGTATAAGTCCTTACAGTATTTTCATCCATGGTTTGCTTCCATGCCTTGTTAACACTACAACTCCCAGAGCAGTCAATTTGACATCTTTTAGTTTTGGAAGTGTTATCAGTTTGTGTACATTTTTGGTCTTCTTGACTTTGTGACGTTGTATGTTTCTATATGTAGTTTATTTCTATTTTTTTATAAAATTGTGTTTTATTTTTAAAATGTGAGTAATTCTGTCATTTTCTACCAGAGAATATAAAGTGCTAGTTACCCTAGCAACACAGTTTACTGGTGTTAGACTATAATTGCTATAACTGTTAGTTACTTGCAGTATTTCAGTTAAAAGTAAAAACCTTATGAATTACTTTTAATAAATCTGGCGAATTATCATTTTTCCCCCCCCAAGGAATTTATCAGATTTCCATTGGTTTGAATCAGAGCATTCAAAATGACGGCTCTGTGAGTTTTCTGGGAGTAGTGGTGTTAAATTTTGGAAAAGCTGTGCTCACAATAGCCCTCACCCAAAAAACACAAATAACAATGATTTACAGTAAATGTAATTACCAGGATTGAACTGATGCATGAACCATATGTTATGCCCAATACTAATGAAACTGTGATCTCTTGTCCCTGCAGGTATGCCGTGTCCTTGGCACGTAAGATTGGAGCTCGGGTTTACGCGCTGCCCGATGATTTAGTGGAAGTAAACCCCAAAATGGTCCTGACGCTGTTCGCTTGTCTCATGGGCCACAGCATGAAAAAGGCCAATCGCTAAAGCACAGGACTTACATGGCAACGACAATTCCCACAAGGTCTCTTTTTGTGGCACGCCAACATACAATTAAAAACTATTTTCATTACAGGTAATTAAATTATTTCACTTGTCCACTGGTACAATAATGACAATGGCAACAATGCAAAAAAAAAAAAAAAAACTTATAAATACAAATATTCAAAGAGCAGACATTGATTGTATATCACAAATGTTATTTTCATAGTATCTTAGTATTATAATTTATATTTTAATAAAATAAAAAAGGAAATATGCTAAAAATATATATTTTGGTAGTGCTTTATTATACTGTTGTGCAAATTCTTATGTAATTAGCCCAATTAAAATCTTTCACTGAGTTTTGTTTGTATATTGTGTTCTCAGCAGAGACCTATGTGGTTCTCAGGCATTTTTGCTTTAAAAAAAAAAAAAAAAAAGATTTAAAATAAATGTATGATGTAAACTGTTGTGTATGCTTTTTTTCTGTTTAAATTATAAGAATAATAAATAACACACCTAAACGTATTTCTTTGATTATTAATATATTACATACAGTACAGACCAAAAGTTTGGACACACCTTTTTTATTTTAGTGATTATGAAAATTGTAGATTCACACTAAAGGCCTCACACTGAAATTATGAATTAACCTCATGTGGAATTATGTACGTACAAAAGAAAAGTATGAAACAACTGAAAATATGCGTTCATTCTCTTGATGAGCTTCAAGAGGTCCTGAAATGGTCTTCCAACAGTCTTATAGGAGTTCCCAGAGATGCTTAGCACTTGTTGGCCCTTTCGCCTTCACTCTGTGGTCTAGCTCACCCCAAAACCATCTGGATTGGGGTCAGGTCCGGTGACTGTGGAGGCCAGGTCATCTGCCCAGCACCCACCACTCTCCTTACTGGTCAAACAGACCTTCACACCTGTCCTGGTGTGAATCTACAGTTAATAGTCAACTCATTGAATGAGAAAGAGAAAGTGTGTCCAAACTTTTGGTCAGCACTGCATTAAAATTAAATACTTATGTGGAACAAGTGGAGGTTAAGGTGACAGTTGTTGAAAAGGCTACAAACCTGAAAGCTGGGGTATGTACATTTCAAAACCTATTTTTAATAATGCATGAACTTTTTCGCCTCTTTCGAAAGTGTTGGTTCTTATTTACAAGTATACAATAGATAATGTTTTCTACAAAAAAGGCAATATCTGTTAGAACAAAGTAAAAGGTAGCGTTATTTTTATTTGGAGAAATAATTACATACCCGAGCTTTATATTATCAACACACAACAAACGCGATGAGTTCCTTCTGCGGATTTTGGTCTCGTTGGCTTTCCGTACCATTATAAACACGCACGTCATTTTGGAGCGAAACTTTTGACAGCATGGGTTCTTTCATCCCGGTGATAACATCAACAATCCCGTTTCAATCTTTGCAATAAAATAAACAATTTGACACTTAACCCAAATTCATGTGCACTATGGAGGGTTTGGAAATGTCTGCGATGATCCCTGCGCTCCAGGAACTAGCCAGGTGTGGAAAGCTAAGGAAAACTGCTAGCTTAACTTGCCGGAAAAACTATTTATTGTTATAATACGTGTCGTGTAAATTGTATGGTATGACCCTAGAATGTCTTTTATTTTCAGTGCGAGTGCAGAAGGATATGAACAGACGGTACAGAAGCCTCGTCAAATCCTCTGTCAGTTCATTGACAGGATTCTGACTGATGTGGACGTAGGTGAGTCTAGGTTTCATTTTCAAATAATATTTTTTGCTTTTTGTGATAACGTTTATAGATTCTGCTGAGGCTTGTATAGTGAGTAGCAGTATAACATTGTTTATTTCGATAAATAATGCAAAAAGTAGTGCAGAGTCTACGTATTGTGACCAAATCAGACTTAAATGTATATAGGAGGATTGGATCATCAAGTCAATTGTCAATCATTCTGGTGATTGTGCTCGTCAGATATGACCAGAGAGTTTTGTTAAAACAGTGGAAAGGGCTGTTCTTTCCTAAACTTTAGGAAAATCCTCTAAGCACCTTTATACCTTTTTAAGCACATTGTTTTCATCTTATTAGACAATTTCCCTTTTGCATACTTGTAAGAAAGAGCTCTTACATTGTCCTCACTTGTGACAGAGACCATTCTTAAATGCATGTGAAAACTAGTGGTAGAACCAACTTGTTTCTTGTCTAGTTATTTTCCATACATCATTGAAGGCAAGTTTATTTACATGACATTATTGTTACCTTTTTTGTGATTTGAACGTTGGGAACTCCAGCTTCAATTAATTTGGGAAGTATAACCATTAGTATAAAATCCCTGAGTACAACTAGCAGACAATATTTTATTAGCAGTCTGTTTGCCTAATTGTGCTTTTGATACAAACTGTCATCATTATGTCATGTGTATGATGTATGCAATAGCCAGCGCAGCCTCTTATTGGGAATTGCTGTAAGTATATAAGCCTGTGTCATCATTGTTTGTATTTACTGATTTAGCCTCAACCATTGTTTGTTACTCTTTATCTATTCATTATTCTTTTTTCTCAATGATTTTATTCTAATGCTACTGTTTTTGTATTGTTCCTTTGCAGTTGCTTTGGGACTCAGTAAAAAGTCCAGTTCAGAGCCGGCCTGTGTGATGCTGCTGCACTTTGTCCAACACATCATCAAATCTTCGTCCCTCATGTTTGCCAATCCTGCCTGCCAGCCTGCCGACTACCCAGAAGCCACTCAGAGCAGTACTGGTGGGAAATATACTTTTTCTTACCTTACTTTTTCTTTTGAATTAAACATCAGACTATAGTATTGCTAATTTATTCAGGATGGGCATCTACTATTCTGAAATAACATAAAGGCACAAAACATTAAAGCGTACTACTAAAAAATGAAATTACTACAATGTACTAATTAAATATAAAATTATAAGCCTCATAAACCCATGAAAGGACTGGGCATACAGTTGTATGCAAGACACAATAATGAATAAATATTCATTCATTCATTCATTCATACATTAAGTTTTTTCAGGACTGACACAAACACTGATAATCAGTAGTCAAGGAGGGGTAATAACAGATGTATAGATACTATATATATATATATATATATTTGCAAAAAATGGGTGTCAAATATTTAATATGTTTAAGCATATGTTTGTCTAAAAAAATAAATGCGAAAAAAAGTCTATTCACTGCATTGATTGGATGTTATGTAACTAGAATTGGATAGAAAAGATTCTGACTTGTATTTGATGTGATTTTATGCAAATAAAGTGTTCTGAGATAAACAAACTAAACTCAACTATTCTGACAGTGCTTTGTTAAGTCATATACAGTAAGGACTGCGTTACAGCATAAGGGCTGTTATGCAGAGGAATGATAAATGTTTGTGTTGGTTGAGTTGTATCATTGTCTTCTGGGATAGACTAATAATTGTTCTATCAAAAAACACAATTACCCATAGTTACTACTGTATATGTTAAAACTAATTTGGCCTTCTATATGCTCTCATTAGTGAACCAAGCTTGTGTCTCTTGTCCCCCAGACTTCAGCAAGTGGGTGCTGGTCCGAATGCTTCGTGTGGCTGCGTCTCCAGACTGTGAAGTCATCCACGACCGGATCTGTAACGTCCTCAACCTTTTACTGCACACTTTACGTGTCCGTGCACCACTCATCTACAGCCGCCTCACCAAGGAACTCATTTCATTACTCCATCACCTCAGCAACATCATCCATGACCATCTTCTGACTCTGGCGGGACAAGGACACATTCTGGGAGTGAATTCTCGCTGCCAGTGGCCAGTCACTTTGGATAGCCTAAATATTCCAAGTGCCTTCTGCTACCTCACTCCTTCTCCTCTTGTGCTGTCAAATCCTGCATCCCTCGAGTCTATAACAGTCGTCACAATTAAAATCTTATCAGATTCAATAAGGGGGGTAGTGTCTCCACGTGACATTAACACAGCCTGGGTATCTGCATGCTCCTTTTTATCAAACGGGACGGTTCGACTCAAGAAGCCTTCTATGGAATTGTTGAGCAGGCTGGTTGCGATTGGCGATTTTCCTGAATTACAAAGTCATAATTTCTTCATGGCATTAATGGATTTGCTGGAAACGCACACAGACCTTCTTTCAACAGACACTGAAATGGACAAACCATATGAAGGACAGCTGCTGAAATTGACTCAATGCATTTTTCAGTTTCCAAGTATTAATAAGTTTGAGTCTGCTTACCTTTCACAGTTGTTCGATTCTGTCTGTGTTCTTGGAGTCTCACAGAACAACCTGGGGACAGAGGTTCAAGAAACACTCTGTCATATTTTTAGTTTCCTGTTGTCCGAAACACTGGTTTATGAACATGTTGCGTCACTCAGAAGGCAAAAAGTCTGTGATGTTTGCAAGACATTGGTCCAAACTGTTGGGAGTGGCAACCAAGCTGAGGTATGTTTTCATACTTTTCATTTGTTGATTTCTGTTTGACCCAGGGCTCTGTATCAAACACTAACGTTAAAATGGTGCAAGTAAAAGGATTTTATTGGTTACAAAGTCATTTACAAATCTCAGTATTTATATTTTTCAGTGTGCAGAGGGCTTCCTCAGAGCTGCTCTTAAAGCTCAGACTGTGCGAGTGATGCAGGAGTCAAAAGATGAGGATCCTCCAGCGAAAAAGGCAAAAATGACCAAATCTGTGAAGGCAAAAATGTACATTACTTAATACATTTAACATATTATTGTCATAAGAATATAATGTTTAATATAGTTTGTTTCTGTACAGAGCCATAGACATGCGCATTCGCAATGAGGTTTGGGCTGTCGTCAACGGCCGTCTGGAGGAGCTGCTAAGCTTCCTGAACTCTACCTCCCACCGAGCTGAAAATCCAGAACTCGTCTCTGCCATCGAGGGCCTGTCGCTAATGCTGCATTTAGCTACGCTCTGTTCCTCACCTACATGGTACGTTTGGATATAATCCCCACACTTCTGGGCGCCGTAATTCAGGAGGGGATAAAGTTAATCCTTCTAATGATTTCACTAGTTTGGCAGCGTCGCCGATCTGGGTGACCACCGAGACTCTTGGCAGAGCTCTGAATACTTGTAAGTCGCTGTTGGACGGTGGTGGAAAACCTGTAGAAAACCAGAATTACCATCAGTCTGTGCTCCAGGCCACTATTGGTATCCTGGATTCTGCCATCTTCCTAACAAGTACGTTATTTTGTTGTTATCTTCTAAGGTAAATAATTAAAAAATTCTGGACGATAAGAACATTTTGTGTCTGCAGTAAACAGTCCAAGTGAGGATGGACTTCAACGCAGGGTTTGTGGCCTGCTGTCTCTGCCCTGGGTGAACGACCACAAGTCTGCTTCAGCGTTCAGGGCTGCTGCTTTTCCGTCGTGGCTTTCTGGTCTGGCGCTAAGATTAACATTTTGTAACAGTAAGTTTCACATTATCTGCAGTGCCTTGCAAAAGTGTCTGGACAGTGTCTGGATTTTTGTTTTCTTTACAGGAGTAATAAAACAAATAAAATAGTATTATATTGTAGTTGTGTTGCTGTCTTATGGTATTGTGCTCGCTGAAACTTCCCTGCTGTGTGACGAACAAAAGGGTTATCTTATCTAAATGATCAACTGTTCTCTCCTTTTGTTTAGCCCCTGAAGTTCAAGTTGGTTGCATTTCTCTGCTAGCCCTACTCCGCCAGGGCGTATGTGAATCGTGGCGAGCGTTGGTGTTTTCAAACGCATTAAAAAGTAAAGAAGATTCAGTGAGAGCTGCAGCAGTCAAGGCTTTTCCTTTGTTATTGCATCACCTGGGAAGAACTCATCACAGCCTCATCAACTCTACTCTCCTGTATGTAGAGAAACAGATTCAATGTTATTTTATAATTTGATTGTAAAAGTAAATGTCCCAATAACCGTGTTTTGTTTTTCTAGTCTTCGGTTGGATGACAGTTCGGTCCAAGTGAAGCAGGAGCTCTGCAGGATCGTCGGTCACTTGAGCTGTATCCAGTCTGAAGTCTCTGAACTGAGCGATACAAACGTGGAACCTCAGTGTCTTTCTTCATCTGTCTGCCATCGACTTTGTCTCGCAACCAAACATACAGAAAACACCACACTTCTGAATGCCTCTTTTGTACAACCATTTCTACCTCTCCTCGAACAGTACATTCCAAGCAGCATCAAACTAGGTACAGTTATTATTTACTCTCTTCATTTCATTCACAACTTTTGTATCCTATTTTTTAAGTAATTCTCAGTGTATTGTATTGAAAATCAAAAAAAGTCTTTACTCTTCTCTCATTATTTTGACCAATCAGGTGCAATAATTTCCAAAGGCACACCAAGCAACATCTCAAAGCACTCTAACGGGTCATGACACACTGGGATGGCCAAAAAAATATTAATACATTTCCTGGATCATCACTGTCCTTAGATCCTCTTGCAGTCTAGTGTTTTGGTGCCTTGAAAGTCTGCACAATTCTGGCAACATATTTAGTTGCAAGATTTCTGATATTTTGAATTATTTAGAGTAAGAATAACAAATTTGGGAGACTCACCTTTGAAAAAGCGTGATGAAGGAATTAGAGTTCTAACCTATTGTACAACCGTATTTATTTCTGCATGAGAGCCGCTGATGTTACATGTGTGATTTGGATTGGTTTTAGCTTTTTTGGAAGCCCTGCCTCATCTGTGCCAGCACGTCAGCCTTTCCAGTGGAGACAGCGATTCGAGGGCTGCAGCGAGCGCTTTGGTCGGACTGATGGAAGACCCCGATCCAGCGGTCAGGGCTTCGTTTGGCCAGTCGGTGCGCTTCCTGCTGACTGAGAATGGACAAGTCGCTGAGCAGAACTCTCTAAGTGAAGTAAGTTTTTAGGCAAATGTTGTAAACTTCATTCAGTTCAGTTCATTCGGTTTCAGTTTATTCTTCTTCACAATATCACTCATTTACTCATACATTTAGTTTATATCCATTTCTCGTGACAATGAGAAAAAGAAATGGACACTCTTGGAAGCTATACAAGCTTACGTATGGGGTCCAACAATACTAAGATAACAGAAACAGATGGCATGAAAACAGAGACTGGTTAAATTTGAGATAAGAAAATTTAACTTGCATGCTTGCTTATAGTATCAGGAAAAGGGTCCATTAGTGGTCGTCCATTGATAATGTACTGTATTGCCTTGTCTGTATTTTTTATCATTCAATTTTATATGGTATGAAGTTACTGGACAAACATGTTTTCTTAGTGATGATTGAGCTCACTTTGCCATGATCTTTGTGTTGTGACCACTTGTGTTAGAAAAGAGCGTGAAATGTGCTGTCTTGTACCTCCCATGTGCCATCAGTTTTACTCTAATCCTTCATTTGTAATTTGTTCATATGGTTTGTAATATTCTAAACTAATGTGTCACCACCACTTGGGTTTTAATCTTAGTGTCATACATTTAGAGAGTTTTTGAAATGTATGAAAATGATGTCTGTCCAGCTCTTGGTCGCTTGTCTAAAGGAAGGTTTCAACAACGCCAAGTTAAAACGAGACGACGATCTGCGCAACACCCTCATCCTTACAACTGGGGAGATTGGCCGGTACGTCAATTTGATCCTATATCTTGTCTATTGTTATTTACATGATGAATCAAAAAAGTACTTTGCCCGATTAGCCCAAAAATGGAAACAAAATTATGTTATGAGAAAGTATGCACTGAAATCCTGTTATGTTTCCTTGTTTCAGAGCCTCTCAGGGAAGTTTGGTGTCTTTCTCTCTCCTGCGGCTGCTTCATTGTCTCTTGTCAAAGTCGTCTCCTGTGTCTGTGGCTGCGTACACTCAGATCAGAGCACTGGCTTCTGCAAAAGGAATCAAGCTGCAAACACTGTTCAGCCAATACAAGTATCCCATCTGCCAGGTAAGACCCGATTATGGCAATTCATTATCAACAACATACTTTGGCACACTTTTATTATTATTTACAATGTATTAGAATATCAATAATATCTCTGCCGTAACCCTACAACTTTTCATCCTGCAAATATTAACATTTTAATTTATTGTATTAAATTCTTCCACTGTAGTTCCTGGTTGAGTCTCTGCACTCTCGTCACTCCTCAGCATTGCGCAGCACTCCAGATCAAAGCAGTGAATCGGCCAATCAGAGGGAGCTGGCCCTGGACATCTTGGCCCAGATCGCTCACGCTTTTGACTTCCCTGACCTCCACCGCTTCCTCACTGTAAGCACTGTTGGTTTTTGTCATTAAGCATCAACAATTTTTTTATTTGATTTGAAAATATATATTCTTGTTTTTGTTTTGTAACAGCGAACACTTCAAGTGCTGCTTCCGTACCTTGCGGCCAAAGCGAGTTCCACAGGCTCCGCCCTCATTCGGACTCTAGCCAACGAGCTGAAGGCAAACAGGAGAGAGATCCTCATCAATAACTTTAAATACATTTTCAGTCATTTGGTTTGTTCATGCACCAAAGAGGAGCTGGAGCGGGCATTCCACTATCTGCAGGTAACTATGTACTGGAACATTAAGCTTCCACAATCAGATCTATCATTTATCTGTAAAAGCCTATACTGTAAAGTAAACATTTGTTTTCTTGTAGAGTGAAACAGAAATTGAACTTGGTTCTCTTCTGCGGCAAGATTTCCAAGGACTTCACAATGAGCTGCTGCTTCGTCTGGGAGAGCATTATCAACAGGTCCGTATACCATTTAGAGAAATTAATAAACGATTTTCTATAATGTGATCCTTTTCATAGGTCTTCAACGGTCTGGCAATCCTGGCATCATTTGCTTCCAATGATGACCCATACCAAGGTCCTCGTGACATCACAACATCAGAGCGGATGGTGAGTGTTTTCAATATTTTTATTGTTTTTCATTATATTAATATTACCATTATTTTATCCTTGATCATTATTGCTGATAATAATAATAATAATAATTATTATTATTAGGCCAATTACCTGCAACCAAAGCTGTTGGGGATTCTTGCCTTTTTCAACATGCAGCTCCTCAGCTCCAGCGCAGGAGAGAAGGATCGCAAAAAGATGGTAAAAACGTCTTTCTTCTGGTTAGTGAACTGTGCGTTGCAATAGTGTAATAAAGGGTTTCTTGTCTCTTATTTTAAAATGAGGTTGAAGCTGAAGTATTGAGTGAGCAAAACACTTGTTGAAAGCAGAGAGGAAAGGTCCAAGGCACTCTTAACTTAAAAATCATTTTTTAAGTTGAGTTACTCCTCTTGTGTTTTTGCTAAACCATTTGTGTTGTGTTCAGGCTCTGACCAGTGTGATGGCTCTGATGAAGTTGATGGGTTCCAAACACATCAGCTCCGTCCGGGTCAAGATGATGACCACACTGCGGACTGGACTGCGCTACAGAGACGACTTCCCTTTGCTCTGCTGCCAGTCAGTACCTAACTAACTTCTTAAGTAAATTTCAATACAGAATAAACCTCAATTCAAATGTTGATTCTCCTAGTGTAAGAATATACATCTCCAGTTTTCTAACACTGTCTTTTTAACCTTTTTTTATAGAAATCATGGTGTATTAGTGCTTCATTGCCATGGTTATGTTTTGAAAGGGCTATTGAGTTAGAAAAGAGATCCCATCCTACATACAAAGATGCCATCACCTTCTACAATCTGAAACCTATACATATCTTTGTATAATGTTGTAGATCGTGGGATTGTTTTGTCAGAAGTGTGGAGCCTGCTCATCTCGGACCCCTCCTTAGTCACGTCATCGTTGCACTCCTGCCACTTATTCCCATTCAGCCCAAAGAAACTGCTGCTATCATACGATTCCTCATACTCGAAAACCGGTATTAACATTTAGTTTGAACATTTTTCTGCACTTTGATTTTAGATTAGAATAAATTTGATCTATCTTTTTGTTTTGCTTGAACAGAGAGGAGGTCAATGACTTCTTACATGAGATTTACTTCCTTCCTGAACATCCGGAGCTCAAAGATATTCACACTGTGCTGCAGAACTACAAAAAGGTCGGAACAAAAAGAGCAACATTGTGGTGTATTGAATATTTTATGTTTACGTAAAGTGGCATCTTCCAAACAAGCTTTAACATCACACAATGTACTAAAATACGAGCCACCCTGAATAAGTTTGATATTTGATTCTTCCTTACCTATAACTACCGTGTTGGTCTGTACTAAATATAGATTTATCTTGACGTTATTGCACATAATAAATAACAAATAATGTTCCTGTATCCAGCTGACGGCGAGTCGCAGTGACCTGGCGGCGGCGCTGCAGCTCTCCATGAGGGCCGTTCAACATGAAAATGTGGACGTCCGGATCCACGCTCTGACCAGCCTCAAGGACATGATGCACAGCAAACAGGTCTGTGTCAGATATGATACAATACATTTTTGACTTTAACAATAATGAAACAGTTGTGCTCAAATGTTTACATACACAGGCAGATTTTTTAACCATAAATTGCTTCAAGCAACCACTGTGTGTAAACGTTCAATCTCAAGTGTATATCACAGAATGTCTAATGGCCTACATTGTAAAAACCTGGATTTCACTTTTGTCTGTGTGCACTGTAGGAGTGGCTACTGCGGCAGGTGTGTGCCAGTGAAGCCGTGGAGCCGGTGATCTCCAGCCTGGTGGCAGTGCTGCTCAGGGGCTGCCAGGACTCCTCCCCAGAAGCCAGGCTCCTATGTGGGGAGTGTCTGGGAGAACTGGGGGCTGTAGACCCTGGAAGACTGGACCTGTCCCAAAGCCACAACAACGGAGACCGCAACAAATTTGTGGTAGGAGTCAACACTTTCTAAGCTACAAAAATGTAACAACAGAATGTCAGTTTAATTGTGCCTGGATAATTCCATACTGGATAGTTCATTAAAATCATTAACATTGTTCAACTACAAATATATGAGTTCACATGTCAGGGCCTTTTGAAATTAATGTTCTCCCCGTATCTGCCCAGATTTCCTCTGGGTGCTCCGGTTTCCCCATACCGCTAAAAACAAGTACAATCACTCCTCTCTCTGGGTTTAGGAGTATTATTATGACAATCTTAACCAACAGCATTATACACTCATCAAAGACAGACCTGGGCTTGTTTTTCAGATCCATCCAAGCTACTTTGAAGAACTTCCGGTCACATGTCCATTAATTAGTTTTGTCAATTTCTCAGGAGAAATTATACTCTTTACAATTGCATGTCTGTGTCTACAGCCTTTAATTTTCAACTTTCTCTGGTGCTAGAATTTTGAATACCCAACATACAGTATGCAGTATATGTCTTCTTCAGCTCTAGCTGTTAGAATTAGATGTTTATAAAGTACACTATTGATATTGTGGCAGACTTGCTCTTGCTCCATATTTTCAGCTATCACCTTTGAGATACTTAACCAACTCACCCTTTCTCTCAGAGTGGAGTGGACGAACCTAACTTTGCCTACGACTTGCTCACTGAACTAATCCGGACGTTTTTAGCTTATGCCGATAATGTGAGAGCTCAGGACTCTGCTGCTTATGCCATTCAGGTACACGCTCGCTGGACATATCCATCTATAATCCTACAATAATTGCAATTTCTAATTCATATTATAAATCTTTACATTAATTGAGTAGGAGCTCCTGTCTATCTTTGAGTGCCGTGAGGGCCGCACTGACAACCCAGGACGCCGGTTGTGGAGGAGGTTTCCAGAACACATGCAGGAAATACTTGAACCTCATCTCAGCAGCAGGTATCACTACTTTTTCAATCAATCACGTTTATTTATACGAAATTCATGCAAGTGCTATACAAAGACATAAAGTCATACATTTACAAACATTATAAAACATATGAGGTAAAATGTTAATAAAACAAAAACAAATCAATGTCAGAATAAAACAAAAACAAATCAATGTCAGAATTAAAACTCAACATATATGTAAAAGCCTGGGCTTAAACAATCCCAGATATGAGACCTCCCATACATATTTAGGAAGACTGTTCCAGATTCTAGGATATTTTGGTCATGGAAATGTGTTATTGTGACAGGCCTCGCTATACAGACTTAAACTCTATTATTGTTTTAGACCCCTCATCTTAGAGAAGAAAGCTTAGAACAAAACTTGCCTTTCAGAAGACTTTATTAATTGTTTTGCATTTAAAAAAGGAACCAGTAAAATGTTCATATTTTGGAACCTACACAAAATGATATAAAACATACCGCTGTATGTTGTATATGATATACATTTGAACAATGTATCCTTTCCAACTTCACCCAATTCCATCTCTTAATCCTCATCTATATATAACTGTGTCCACAGATATAAGAGCAGCCAGAAAGAGGTGAACTGGTCAAAACTCAAAAAGCCCATTTACCTCAGCAACAGAGGCAGCAAATTTTCTGACTGGGCGGCCACCTGGGCAGGTTTTCTTATCAGCAAAGTTTGTCTTTTTGTTTGTACTATCTGAATTTATGCTCACAGAAATGGCAAGAAATGTGGTTGTATCTTGATTCTCCTTCTGACTCAGGTGAGACACGAGTTAGCTGGAAAGGTGTTCAGCTGCTGTAGTTTCATCGTCAAGCACGATTATAAAGTTACCATTTACCTGCTACCTCATATCCTGCTGTACATGCTGCAAAACTGCACCCCCGAGGAGCAACAGGAGGTAATCTCTTTTTGTTATTTTTCTCATTGAAAAGTTTTGTCCCAATAATCTTCTCTGTCCTCCTAATTACAGTTTGAGGAGTCATTAAAGTACTTAAAATTTTCTTTTAGATTCTAAAACTATGTGAGGTCTTTCTTTTGTGACAGGTGACAGAGGAGATGCTGGCCGTGTTGATGGAGGGTGATGGTCGTGGAGAAAATCAGAACCAGGAAAATGCCTCGAGTCTGTCACAGCTCAGCACACAGACGGTCTTCAGCATGTTGTCTCACCTCACACAGTGGAGCCGCCACGTGCTCTACGCCAAATCCAAACACAACGGTAGGAAGATACAGGACAAACTATTGCATAACTAATGATAGAGCTCCTATACGCGGTCTGCACTTTTCTGACCTGAGCAGCGAGGAGCAAAGGAGTTTGAAGAATTGTGTTCTGACCAAAGATAATCAAAATGATTTATAGGTGAACAGTTATACACTTGTGTGCAAAACGAGCACAAATATAATTTGTGCTGTATTGAAAAAAGTACAAGTCGTACTGTAGGTACTCAAGTGAAAGTACTTAAGTCACTATAAATAAGTACAATATATTGTAAGTACCTTTTTAAAGATATATATTATTTTAGATTTGTTGGCCAGTTTAACACATACTAGTAAACAATTATTATGCCACTGTAGAAGTGTTTCATATTGGCACAGTAGATTATCTGAGCTGAGAAGCATGAAAACCACAGTGAATTTAATCACTAAGTAATAATTAAGCACAGCTAACGCTGTATTAGTCCATGGACATTAGACAAACTTTCTCCTGTAGCTTTGAACTTCACACTTTTTATGTTGTTTCCTCACCCTTACATTTTATTACAGTATGTACAGAAAGTACATATATTTGGGTTTGAAAGTAAATGGAAAAAGTAAACTGTTGAACTAGGAATAAATTGGTACAGTGTAATGTATAGTGCAGTGCAAATACTTTGCCGACCTATGATCCTCAATTATATTTACAAGGCGCTGCCATCAGTTTTGAGCTATGATATGTGTCCTCCTGTACACTCTGGTCCCTGAGCACAGGAGAGTTCTGGTTCTGAAGTTTGACATGGTACCTACCTGCGCCATTACACACATATCCAATCAATATGTATACCCAACATGTCAGAAGAATAAACTGAAACATTCATTAAATGTATCTATTGAGTACCCATCTTTGTTTTCAAAATAAAATTATAATAATTTTATATTTATTCAGAGAGTGGGGAGTATCAGCGTGTAGTGGCTTTCCTGAAGGCCATCCCTCAAGACGTTTTGGCCAAAGCTTCGCTCAGATCAAAAGCCTACACTCGCGCCGTCATGCATTTTGAGGCATTCATCCTGGAAAACAAGGAGAACGTCCAAGACCACCTCTCTTTTCTACAGGTAAATAATGTGACAGTTTCTAGTAATGCAAGTATTGAATTTTCTCCATTAATAACAATGTTCAGTCCAACCTATAATCTAAATGGTCATGTATTTTTCTCACATATGAAACATTTCTCATTAATACTATGTCGTCTAGACCCTGTATGCTGCGATGCACGAACCGGACGGTGTCAGAGGAGTGAACGCGCTCAGGAGAGAGGAGCCGTCTTTACGTGAGCAGATCCTGGAGCACGAGAGCATCGGGCTTTTGAGAGACGCCACAGCCTGCTACGACCGCGCCATTCAACTGGAGTCTGACCAGGTACAACAAGCACAAACTGCACTCATTTCACTACCCACATGATTCCCGAAGTTCATGTGGTGCAAAGATGGAATTGCCGCTAAAACATGACCGAAGATCAAGAACACGTTTTGATTTTCTGGCTTTTTTTTTTCTTTTTTTTTAAAGATTGGTCACTACCATGGTGTGATGACGTCTATGCTTGGCCTTGGACAGCTGTCTACTGTTATTACTCAAGTGAATGGTGTATTGGCAAATAGGTAAATAACAATTACATTATATAAAAAGTCGTGTGAAATTGAAAATATTTAAATTCTGTTACGTACCAAAGCTTTAAAGTACCGTACAAAACCAAACTTTCAAACCACAAAAAAAATAACTATATGTAACATTTCAAGTAACAGTTTGGTTTTATCAGTAGTTTTCATATGCTTGTATATTTCCCCTCTGTCACACATATATTTTTTTTAGTGTGCGAAAGAACCTGGTTTTCCAATAAGAAGTCTTGTCTGATCTGTTCACTAAATGTTACTTTTACAAGAATAGACTTATTCATGTACAAAGTAAACGATAACGACCAAAATGAATGTGATTTCATCTGTTTAACCTAGACCTCAGTGGAAGTCAGACCTGAACACTTACAGAGTGGAAGCTGCCTGGAAGCTTGGGAAGTGGGAGCAGCTTGAAGACTACCTGGAATCAGGTCTGCTGAAACAATGGATTTTCATTACTATTTAGTTTTGTTCATTAATTATTGTTTTGGTTGTAGATTGTCCATCCAGCACATGGGGAGTGCGTCTGGGTCAGTTGTTGTTGGCAGCGAATAAACAAGACAATGAGACGTTTTATGAGAAACTGAAGCTGGTGAGAAAGGAGCAGGTTGTGCCTCTTTCTGCGGCGAGCTACGAGTGTGGGACGTATCAGCGAGGATACGAGTACATTATCAGGTCGCTCACTTATTATCCCGATCCAGGCGTTTGTTGATCCAATGATTTTTGGCACTGCTCTTGTTCCGCATATAAATGTCTGTTATTATAGTTCTAAATACTAAGTACCGGTACATTGTTTGAAAATGCTAACACGCACAATGGGCAAACCACTTAGTTGGAGGAAAAAATCATATAAGAACTAAGTTATGTGTATGTCAGTTTTTGTTGTTCATCATTTTCAATGCTAATAATTACTACTAAACTACTAATGACAATTAACTAACAATATTGATAACATTATTCATGTATTTTTTTAGATTGTATTCAAATTAACCTGCACATGAATGATGAATGAAACTGAATGATTAATTTTAATTTCCACCATTGTGTCCCTTAGGTTACATATGCTCAGTGAGTTGGAGCATGCTTTCACTGACCTGCAGAAACAGAAGTCTAGTCCTAAAAGCCCTCAGCTTCCTCTGCACTGGTCTGAGAGGCTGGAGATGACCCAGAACTCCTTTAGGGCCAAAGAACCAATCCTGGCTCTTCGGCGCGCTCTTCTCAGTCTGAGACCAGAGTGAGTCAATAATAGGGACAAATTTTGTCACCTTTTTATACAATGGAGTTTGAACAGCACAATAAACAAAAACGAAACCTTTTGGCTAAGGTGTCACATGACGCTGATCATTTGGATCTTTGCAATTTATGAACCCTTAAATATTTCATGCCATTGTTTGTTGCGATGCAATGGTGATTTGTTGTTTTTGCTGTAGATTGGGCTGTAAGGAGCTGATTGGAGAGTGTTGGTTGCAAAGTGCTCGAGTGGCCAGAAAAGGAGGGCAGCACCAGGCGGCCTTCAACGCTCTCCTGAACGCAGAAAACACACATCTGGCTGAGCTGGTCACAGAGAAGGCCAAGTGGCTCGGCTCTAAGGTAAAAGGTTTACAAAATAAGACTCAGATCCAACTTATAGATGAGACAAAGACAATGGAGTAAAGAATGTTTGCTTAATCTGGTAGCAAAATGATCTCAAAGGATATTTTCCCATTAACTATTTAGTGATGGGGAATAACATAAGCAGACAAGAATCCCTTGTATTAGTTGGATCCCTTGGTAGTTGTGACCATTCAAATTGAGATTTTGGCATTTATTGCAATTTCACCTTTATTTATGCCTTATGTGCTTTCAATCTCAATTAATTTTTCATTTCAGGGCGACATACATCAGGCACTGATCGTGTTACAAAAAGGTGTGGAGCAGTGTTTTCCAGAGGATCTCATCCTCACAGACTCTCGCAGCTTACAGACCAAAGCGAAGGCCATGCTGCTGGTGGGACACTTCATGGAGGAGACCGCCAACTTTGAGTCCAATGCCATTATGAAAGTGTACAAGGTAGTCTTTTAAAGCTGGGGTAAATTGAATTTCATGAAAAAAGTTGTATAATGTGGAAATTCAATCTTCTATGATGCCAGTCTCTTTGTTCTGTGATTTTTCTTTCTAAATGTCACACCCTGGTTATTACCAGTGATATTTGAACACATTTCATTCTGTGAACAATGTATTTTTAGGATGTTACAAATCTTCTTCCCGAATGGGAAGACGGTAACTTTTACCTGGCAAAATACTACGATAAAGTGATGCCAATGGTGACTGACAACAAACTGGAAAAACAGGGCAACCTCATACGATATATTGTTACATACTGTGGAAAGTAAGTTACAGTATGAATTTTGTTGCGACTATAGCCTGTTGATAAATGTATTATTATAATTTTTGTCTGGTATTGTTATTTCTTTCAGAGCTTTGCAGTATGGAAATCAGTACATTTACCAAGCTATGCCTCGGATGTTATCTCTGTGGCTTGACTTTGGAGCCAAAGTTTGTGAGTGTGAAAAAGGTCAGCTATTAATCCATACACTGAACGTGAACAATAATATAAATTAAAAGCTAAAAGTTTAAGTCAAAGATCTGGTATAAACCATGGCATATCAAGATTCTGGTTGGACTGCATGAATACTGGCCCTGCTTTAAGCTGTACTTAGCCAGAGATTTGATCATTAAAGAATATTAGAAAAACATTCGTTATAATCGTCTTTACCCTCTTCTGTACATGCATTTTAGGTTTACATATTCCCATGCTTTTATTTGTTCTTCAGAATCAGATTTTCACTTGTTTTTTCTCTTGCAGCTGGCCGAGCGGACAGACAGATGCGTCAGGAGATGTCTAAAATTAACTCTGTAATGAGCGAGCACTGTGAAAACTTGGCCCCTTACCAGTTCCTTTCAGCCTTTTCTCAGCTGATATCCAGAGTCTGTCATTCCAGCGATGAAGTTTTCCATGTCCTCATGGCCATCGTTGCAAAGGTCTTCAACACATACCCACAGCAGGCCATGTGGTTGATGACAGCGGTGTCCAAGGCGAGTATTTTGACCACAAGTAAATCTGATGCACCTTTTAATATAAATAAAGATTACCGGTACTTACTTACTTTCTCAATATAATAGTCCTGTAGTGTCGGATTGAGTGAGGAATTAAGGATATTGGCTGCAGGCTTCCATCCTGCATCTATTAGGTTTTATTAGGCATCCATAAAGATTTTGGCACAGTACCAGTTTTAGTTTTTCTCTGATGGAGGGATACGAATATTGAAAAACATGTTTTTAGGAGTGCAGTTTTGTTTTTGTATTCATAAATGTATTTTATGTATTGCGAGATGTGACATCTTTAGATCAGCTGTTTCAGAAAAGTGAAAAAGAATAGTCTTCCAATCAGCTCTCTGTCCAAAGTGTCAAAAAGCGACTCACAAGGCTCTTTCTTGCAAGTATGTAAAGGATAACATGTTTTCTAATAAGATAAAGGCAAGGCAAGGCAAGTTTATTTGTATAGCACAATTCATACACAAGGCAACTCAAAGTGCTGAACAAGATAGCATTAAAATCATAAATAATCACAGAACATTAAAAAGAAAGATAAAAATATAAAATCCCTCAGTTGTATGCACAGCTAAACAGCACAGTTTTTAACTTGGTTTTAAACATAGTCAGAGAGGAGGCCTGTCTCACATCCTCAGGAAGAATGTTCCAGATTTTAGCAGCATGAATCTGAAAAGCAGCCTCCCCATGTTTAGTTCTGACTCTGGGCACTAACAGGAGTCCAGTCCCTGTGCTCCTCAGAGTCCGGGCTGGTTCATATGGGACTAACATGTCACACTAATATATTTTGGTGCGAGGCCATGGAGAGACTTGTACACAAGCAAAGCTGTTTTAAAGTCTATTCTCTGAGCCACAGGAAGCCAGTGCAGAGACCTGAGGACCGGACTAATATGGTCGTACTTCCTGGTTCTAGTCAGGACTCGAGCTGCTGCATTTTGAATGTACTGCAGCTGTTTTACAGCCTGTTTGGACAGACCTGTGAGCAGGCCATTGCAGTAGTCTAACCTACTGGAGACAAATGCATGGATAAGAATCTCCAAGTCTGCTTTAGACACTATGTTTTTGATCCTGGCAATGTTTTTTAGATGGTAAAAAGCTGCTGATGTTACTGATTTGATGTGGCTATTAAAATTTAAGTCTGAGTCCAGTATTACCCCTAGATTTCTGACCTTGTTTGAAGGTTTTAGGGAGAGAGACTGTAGATGACAGATGACGCTCTCTCTTTGTTTCTGGGGACCAAAGACAATCATTTCAGTTTTGTCTGCGTTTAGCTGAAGGAAGTTGTTTTGCATCCACTCACTGATCTGTTGGATACAGTGAAGGAGTGAGTCCACTGGTCCATGTTCTCCTGCAGTCAGTGAGACATAGATCTGAGTGTCGTCTGCATAGTTATGATAGGAAACTTCGTTTCTGCGTATTAAATGACCTAACGGCAGCATGTAGAGATTGAAAAGAAGAGGTCCCAGGATCGACCCCTGTGGTACTCCACAGGTCAGGGCCATATGATCTGAGACACAGTTTCCAATCTCCACAAAGTACTTCCTGTCTTCAAGGTAAGACCTAAACCAACTTAGGGCGGTGCCAGCGACGCCAACCCAGTCCTCTAGTCTCTGTAAGAGGATCTCATGGTCGACAGTGTCAAAGGCAGCACTCAGATCTAACAGGATTAGGATTGAGACTTTGCCTGCGTCAGTGTTTAGCCGGATATCGTTTGTAACCTTGACGAGAGCAGTCTCAGTGCTGTGGTGGGGTCTAAAGCCGGACTGAAACATATCAAATGAGTTGTTGATTATAAGAAATCTATTTAGCTGTTGGTAGACAACTTTTTCAAGGACTTTCCCCATAAATGGCAGATTTGAGATGGGATGGTAGTTGCTAAGTACCGTAGCATCCAGACTGCTCTTTTTAAGCAGGGGCCTGATGACTGCAGTTTTCAGGGCCTTTGGGAATATTCCAGAATGAAGGGACATGTTTACTATCTGTGTGAGTGAAGGTAACAGACTGCTCAGAACAGACTTCAGAAATCTAGTGGGTAGTACATCCAGGCTACATGTGGAGGCGCTCAGACTGGAGATTATCTCTTGGACAGTTTGATCATTTACAGGTGCAAAGTAAGTTAGCTCAAAGAGCCTTTTAGGCTGTTGGATGGTTATCTGTGGATTGGAGACAATGGCGTTTTTGATGCCTTGAACCTTGTCATTGAAAAAATGTGCAAACTCATTACATTTACGTTTGGAAGTTAGCTCTAATGGCATCTGAACAGGGGGGTTTGTTAATCTATTAACTGTTGAAAACAGAACACGCAGATTGTTGCTGCAGCCTTCAATCATTTCAGAAAAATACCTTTCTCTCGTACTACGTAGCACCTGGTTAAACTCGCACAACTTATCTTTGAAGATCTCGTAATCAACCTGGAGGTTGGACTTGCGCCACTTCCGCTCGGCCCTCCGGCACTCTCTCTTTTGTGCCCTGACCGAGTCTGCTTTAGCCCACGGCGCCTTCTGCTTATTTTTCACTGTTTTAACCTTCACAGGAGTGATGGTGTCCAGAACATTCAAAACACTAGAGGTGACAGAGTTAAACAGTTCATCTACAGTAGAATACGATGCATTCTCAAAGTTTATCATTCCCATAAATAGTTCACCCGTATTTTCATTTATGTGTCTTCTTCGTACAGTTGCAGAGTCCACTGGTGGTTTGTTAGTGAAACACATGTCAAAAAATACACAAAAATGATCCGAAAGCGCAACATCGACCACGTTTACATTTGAAATATTCACCCCCTTTGTAACTAACAGGTCTAGAGTGTGCCCTCTGCTGTGGGTGGGGCCACTCACGTGCTGAGTGAGACCAAAAGATTCAAGAACAGAACTCAGCTCTTTTGCCTTTCTGTCAATAACATTATCCACATGAATATTAAAATCCCCTGTAATAACTAAGCTATCAAAATCTGTGCATAAAACTGAAAGCAACTCCGTAAAATTATCAATAAATCTGTGACATGACTGCGGTGGCTTGTATAGGACAATGAAGAGTATTGGACTAGATTGTTTTTGTTGTATTTTAAAAGACACATATTCAAAAGACGGAAACTTCCCAAGAGACATTCTATGGGAGACAAAGTGGTCTCTGAAAATGGCAGCTAAGCCTCCTCCTTTTTTGTTTCCCCGTATTTCAGATTCAAATTTGAAATTTGGTGGTGATGCTTCTATTAAAACTGCATTTTCTGTATTTTGGTCAAGCCATGTTTCAGCCATGAACATAAGATCTAGATTATAAGAACAAATAAAATTATTGATTAAAAAAGACTTGTTACAAAGAGATCTGACATTTAGCATAGCAAGTTTCAAAGTTTCAGTATCAGCGGTTGTGGTCGGCTGATTCTTACACGGAACAAGAATTAGATTTTCCTGATTAGACTGATTAACTTCAGATGTTTTTCTGTTATGTATTCTTTGTGTTATCACTAAGGGAATGGCACAGGTGGCTTCATGACAGGGCCCCAGCCGGGTCTCTCCTCTAACTAGACTGCCAGTGGCTGCGAAGCAGAGACCCTGTGCATCCTAGTGTTTTAGAGAAAAGAGGGGAAGGGGAAGGTGGGGGAAGAGGATGGAGAGGCAGGTGGTTCTTGGGAGTTGGACGGGGGGGGGTTGAAGGTGGATGGGTTTTTGGTGATGGGTTAGGGGAGGGGCAGGCTGAGTTGGGTGGTGGACGAGGGGGGAGTGGAGGTGGAGGGTTTCTTGGTGCTGGGTTAGGGGGGAGGTGGGCTAAATGAGCAGGAGGGGGGGGTGGAATACTTATGGGGTTAGAGGAGGGACGGGTGGATTTTGTGGGAGAATTTGAGTTGGACGCTCTAGGTGGCTTTGGAGGTACGTATGGGGAGTAGTTTTGAATGTTAGATAGGACTCTTGATCTGGCTACAGTGGGTGTGAGAGGAATAGTCTTCATCGCCGATCTTATCATGCCTGCCGAGTGTTCCGGTAATTCCAGTAGTGAAGGCGGGGATAGAAAACAAAGGGAAAGGTCGTCCTCATTTTCCCTAGATGGAGTGGATGTAGCGGGGGGGACCCAAGCCGGGTCCATGGAAGGTGATGAGGGAGTCTTTGGTGGAGACAGAGGTGGTTGAGGAACCCCCAGTACAGGCCTGACTGTAGCCTGGAGCAGTGGGGGAAGCTTCACGGGAGCTGTAGGTGGGGAAGGTGCTGCTGAAGATGATGGAGCAGCCACTGCTGCTGCTGTATCCACTGCTGCTGCTGAAGATGATGGAGCAGCCACTGCTGCGGCTGTATCCACTGCTGCTGGTGGTGCTGTATATGCTGATGGCGCTGATGAAGATGTGGCAGCTGCTGATGATGCTGGTGGTGGAGGCGTTGAGCTCTTTCGGAGCCGTGGAGGTGTTGAGTTCTTTTGGAACCTTGGAGGTGTTAGTTCTTCTTGAATCGTGGAGGTGTGGAGTTCTTTTGAGGCGGTGGGGGTGCAGAGACCTCGGGAGTCGGTGGAGATGGTCGTGATGTCTGTGCCCTTTGCTTCTTCTTTCTCCCTTTCGACGGCTGCACGCGCTGCGCAGGCTGAGGTCTTAGGGCAGATGCAAAGTTATCCATCAACACTTTTACTCCGTAGTTGTTCAGATGTGGGCCTTTTTCTTCAAAAAGCTCGTGCCTATTCCAGAACAGGTTAAAGTTTTCAATGAAGCCAAGTCCTCTGCGTGAACACTCATTGAGTAGGAATGTATTTAGCTGATACAGACGGCTAAACAAACTAAGACAGCAGACTGTGGTTTGATGTTAATGTTTGTTGATTTATTAAGAAACGTTAAAGTTAGGTTCCCCTGCTTTTGCAATCGTAGGCTGTCAATATATTTAGCATAATTCTTTGTATATAAAAGTGGGGTCTGATTTTAGTATTCTTCTCTATCTAAATTATTTTTCTATTGTATTTCAGTCTTCCTACCCAATGCGTATGAACCGCTGTAATCAAATCTTGAAAAGGGCCATCAGTCTTAAACAGTCCCTCGATAAGTTTATCGGCGATGCCACAAGACTGACCGATAAATTGCTGGAGCTTTGCAACAAACCGGTAAGAATACATTATGTCCTCCAGGATGATTTTTCTTAACATTTGTTTACAAAACCATTGGGATTGAGATTTAAAGCTGCTCTCATATGACTAGTTTTCACATTAACTTCTATTTGGCCTCTGTCAAAGCAAGGCAAGGTGAATTTATTTGCATAGCACAATTGAGTGTCCAAAAAAGCCCTATATAAAATACCGATGCATTATTTATTACAACTATACATACAATATTTGTACCCTTTCTGTTGGGAAAAACTATAATATTTTAAAACAAAAAGGTTATATACATTGAATGTGTTGTTGTATCCAATAGTGATTTCTTCTTTTCTTTGATAGGTGGACGGTAACAGCTCCACCCTGAGCATAAGTGTCCATTTCAAACAGCTGAAACGACTTGTGGAGGAGCCCACGTTCAGCCAGATCCTCATCCCCCTGCAGTCTGTGCTCATCCCAACACTGCCCTCTACTGGTGGGGCCAACACAAATCATGACGCTTTCCCCGGACACTGGGCTTACCTGGATGGATTTGAGGACTCTGTAGGCATAGCTATTAGTAATTGGTCATAAATATTAAGGTTAAAGGAGTAAAAATCCTGCATTATTTTTTTCAGGTGGAAATCCTAGCATCTTTGCAGAAACCTAAGAAGATAAGTCTGAATGGCTCAGATGGCAGGAGCTATACAATGATGTGCAAACCCAAAGATGACCTGAGGAAAGACTGCAGACTGATGGAGTTCAACTGCCTCATCAATAAGGTATAATCATTGGTCAGTTGCTTTCATATAACGAGAGAAAGAGGTCCACTTCAACCCCTCAGCCCTTTTGGCACTAACATTTTTTGTGCATGAAAGAGGAAGGGGGGGACCTGAATAATAAAATACTTTCTCAAATACAATACAAAAATAAAATTAAAAAACTATATTTTTCTTTCCAATCCACCCTAAGTGACCTTTTCACATCCACATTTGAGATGTCATTCCCAAATAGTTTTCACCACTAACCATTATCTGAATTTTCATTTTTTTTTGACAATGTCTGAACCTTGTTTTTCTAATGCCAATTGCAGTGCCTAAAACATGGTTTGTTTCTGTGTAGTGCCTTCGTAAAGATGCCGAGTCCAGACGGAGGGAGCTGCACATTCGAACATACGCTGTGATTCCCCTGAATGAAGAGTGTGGCATTATCGAATGGGTCAACAACACCGCTGGACTACGCCACATCCTTACCAAACTGTACAAGGAGAGAGGTACATACATTTAAAAGTTACAGCACAGACACTGCTTAAGGTCACCCCACAGTTAAACCCTAACCCTAAAAGTACATCTCTCAAGTGTCGATATCTATGGTTGGCAGGTCGTTATTCTATAGTCCTATTTGCTGGTTTATTAACAGGATTTTCAGTTAATGGGTGTATTAGGGCTGAGCGATGTGGGAAAGAAATCTAAACTTCTCCCCAGATGACATGTTATGATAAACTTTCACACCAAGTGAGTAGAATAAGCAATAATCTGGTTCATTTGTGGATCACAAGTTCAAAAACATCAACATATTTAATCTGTGTATTTTAAAAACATCTATTGCATTTCATAGGTGCAAAACTAGTAGATTTGTATTCTGTGGATGTTCAATAGGGATCTACCTGTCAGGCAAAGAGCTCCGGAAACTCATTCTTCCAAAGACGGCTCCATTTGAGGAGAAGCTAAGAATGCATAAAGATGTGCTGTGTGCGCGCCATCCTCCGGTGTTTCACGAGTGGTTTCTACGCACTTTCCCAGACCCCACTTCATGGTAAATATTTTATTGTTAATCTTTTTGTTTTTTCCAAAAAGGTCATATTTTTAACTAAATTATTTACATTACTATATAATGAAATAAAATGGGTTATTTATTTAGGTTGGTGTAGCAGTGTAGTACATGAACAAAGCAAATCATTTTTACTTTACCCACTCACATACTATTATTTAAGATTCATTTAACTATATTTAAAAGTCTTTACAGTACATACACATTCACACACACATACAAGTCACGTTTTTCTTGTTTCTCAGGTACAGTAGCCGCTCTTCTTATTGCCGCTCCACCGCTGTGATGTCAATGGTGGGCTACATTCTGGGTTTGGGCGATCGTCACGGTGAAAACATCCTCTTTGACTCTTTCACTGGAGAATGTGTCCATGTGGATTTTAACTGCCTCTTCAACAAGGTGATAAAACTATTTATTATTTTAGAGAATCAATGCAAATGTAAATGTAAATCTCTGCTTGTGACTAAGCAGTATTTATTGTAATATTTGCTAATATATATAATCACTATTCATTGTGATATTGATGTATTCTCTTATTTCTAGTCCATAATAGTGTTTAATTGTAATCTAATCTAAACCAGGGAGAGACATTTGACGTGCCAGAAGTGGTTCCTTTCCGTTTGACCCAAAACATGGTTCATGCTATGGGACCAATGGGAGCAGAGGGGCTCTTCAGGCAAGCCTGTGAGGTCACCCTCAGGCTGATGAGGGACCAGAGAGAGCCACTCATGAGGTTGGCTTGTTTTCACCTCCCTATGCAATTTGTTAAGACTGAATGAATGTTTAGAATAAATGGTCTTTTGTCTCACTTTATGTCAGTGTGTTGAAGACATTCCTTCATGACCCTCTTGTTGAATGGAGCAAACAAGGCAAAGGACTTTCCAAACCTCAACCCAACGAGACAGGAGAGATTGTGAATGAAAAGGTAAATAAATTGTTACTCAGGTATATTTTTCACCAGGTCATTTAACAATGATTTGAAGGGGCACTTAATTTTAACGTAATTTATACCACTTGGTTGTCTCCATGGATATCTTCTGGATAGGGTGTTTCTAGCTTAAACCCGTTAAGCGGCCCTGCATCTTAAAATTCAAATGGTCTATGGGGACACTTTCCCCATAGACCTCAATGTTAACTATAACGGTTCGTCCTTGGCTGACAGGGAATCTGCAGCTTTATGTCAGATTTTGTGGGGATTTCTCAAGCCCCGGCGATCCAAGATGGTGCCCTATTCAAATGAATGGTTGTGCTCAGTGGCGCTTTGTGACGGCATGGGGGCTGAAAGATTAGCGGAAGTTGCCTGAAACTCGCAAAGATTTATGGGAAACTCGCCTGTATTTGGGCATCGTCTGGTCCTCCCGGTTCTGCGCAGTGGATGATCTCCCATAATGCGTTGCGTCAAACACGCGTGTGTGGGTCTCACACCAGGTCTCACGCACGTGCACAGAGGGGCTCGGCCGTGCTCTGACCAATCAGAGCAGTTCATCAGAGCGGGAGTTAGAGCGAGAGCCAGACAAGCAGAGTTTGTGGCACTAAAGTGTGGATTTAAACAAAACCGAAGGATTTAAGAAGAAAAAAAGTTCAGGATGACAAGGGACACTAAAATCCACACAAAATCCGACCTTTATGAAAGCTGTAGGTTCCCTGTCAGCTGAGGTCGAGCTGTTTTAATTTGCATTGAGTTCTATGGGAAAAATTTCTGGGTAGCCCACGTGAATTTAGTCTGGTTCAGTCTGCAGTACCGCGAGAATCCCCTGAGCACATGGGTTATTCAGCTACAAGCTAGTAATACCCTATCCAGGTAATATAATAGATCCATGGGATTTCTGTGTACCTTGGTTGTCTCATCTTTAAGGGTAATTGTATTGTTAACTAATCAATATCTTGATTATTAATCAAATTTGGCCTGACATTGGCATTCAATGGCAATGAGTAGTTTTAATGCCATATTGTGGAAAATGCCATCAAGCTCTAACTATCCAATTCATATTACAACTTCAAAAGAAGATATATAAAAAGGTTGATCTCTGTTTTGAGATCCTAGTTAGTTTGTTGATTTACAAACTACCTGTATATTAAACAATCTGTGTTAAATAGTTCACTAAAAATACCGTATCAAGTCCAGAACTGCTGTAGCCTTTTGCTTTATTCTTGGCTGTGTTGTTTCTTCTCTTCTTTCAGGCTAAAACCCATGTGTGTGACATCGAGCAGCGCCTGCAGGGAGTGATTAAAAGCAGGAATAAGGTTCTGGGTTTGCCTTTGTCCATCGAGGGCCATGTGCACTACCTCATTCAGGAAGCAACGGACGACAAACTGCTGTGTCAGATGTACCTGGGCTGGGGACCATATCTGTGAGCACAGACTGATATGCTCTGTATGTACTGAAATTGTATCAATGCCATAGAGAAAATTATGTTAAAACGTTCTGAAGAAAAAGAAATTGCACTAATGCCTGTTTGGCCCAAAGAAAGTGTGCAATAGTTTTGTAATTTTATTTTTCTGTTTTTCCTGCACATTCCCCATGTTTAACTGCAATAAAAAAATGCATCTTTTCCAACCCCTTGCTCTCAAAAATACATCTCTTAATCAAGCTATTTATGAAAATCTAAAATAGATTATAGGCATGGAAAATATTTTTAGACCAATTACTTAATACATATTTTCCTGACATACCTCTTTTCACAGTCTGGTCTATTATTAGTACAACTTAACAGTAGCAGCCGGCCGCTCTGTCAGATGGCAGCTTTAATCCCGCGTCTCTTCCTTCGCTTAAGAGCAATGGGCCAATCCACTCACCTCACATAAACACTGGCACAGATTGCGGACAAGTCTGCCTGGGAAAGCAAGCAGCTCAAGACGCTACAGACAGTGATATATTTTACACTTATGTGGCGCTAGGTTTTCATTATGCAGAAATGAGTGCAGACATACAGCAGATCACTGTTTTTCTCATCATTACTCTTCTCCTTTTCGTCAATGCCTGGCTTCTGCTTCCTCTTGCCTTTGGATAGGAGGTAGGATGGCTGCTCCATAGCATGAGTATGGCACTGGGGCATTATTGGACAAAAGGAATCTGAGGATATTTGTGAAATATTGGGCATCATCTCAATTAAACCATTGATGTATATATATTTTATGAACTGGATGTTGCTGCATCATATATGTTTGGGTGTGTTTGATTATATAAATAGCATTGTCTGTGCAAGTTGATGTAAAAATTAGGCTTTACATATGTTGCTTTACATGTTATATAATCATATCCAGTATTATTTACATGGATCCAGTCCAATCCCTTTAGTTTATCAGTCAGATAGCACGGTTAGAATTATGGTAACAGCTAGTTTATCCGTGTAGCTCATAACGTAGCATGTACTGCATATGAATGAATTTATACGAAAAAAAGGTCTATTTATCCATTAAGACTCTTTGGAGCTTTGGCGAATTTATTAGATAAAAGTCAGTGTGGGCAGAGGGTTAAAAATGGCCTCAAACAACAATAGCAAGTGCATATTTTTAGGCTAAAATCCACTACGACAAGTGGTCAGTGGAGAGCGCAAGAGGGGCGAGCCGTAACCTAGCAACGACGCAAATTTGATCTATTAAAATATAACGTGACATTGACTAAATAAAACATTAAATTTCATTTATATGTCAACAATAACACATGTGAAACGATAAGGCAATGGCAGATGGTTTAACCCCGCTAAGATATATGGCGACGTGGTTAGCCGCTAGTTGACGTTAGCCTCTGGAGGTCCACGGCTGAGGAGCGGTCAGTGCGGAGGGACAGCAGCCGAGCGGAGGACCGGGCAGAGCGGACACAGAGCCGCTGACCTCGGGAGACTGTCATGGACCTGACTCGGCTGGCTGTGGATGCTGGACAGTTCATCAATCGCGCTGTTCAGGTAGGCCTGCATCGGTGGTCATTCTTGGTAAATGAACGTTTTATTTTTATTGTTGGTGATCATGAGAGGATGTTCTTACAAGGCTAGCAGGTGTGTCTAATGCATGGATCTATTATGGTGTTATGTTATTACCATTAATAACTCGAATGGCAACGTTATCCTGCTGCTAGATGGGGATACCTAACTTTTTTATTTCCCAAAGGTGGGTCAGGGCGAGCAGAAAATTAAGATCCACAAGTTGGATACGAGTAGGGAGCATAAAGTACAGTTTTGTTTTTATGAAGTCTACATTGTTACATTCAGTCTATGGTCCTATCATGCTCACTTCTATATTAGATGAGATGAAAGACTGACAATCATTTTTGTTTTCAATTTTGTTCATTAAAAAAAAAAAGTTGGGAAATCAGGAGTTAATAAATGCTCACCTCTTTTATTTTTTTATTCTATATGCATTGGAGTCATGAGTCTTCTTTGTAATAAATATCAAACCTTTTAAAATATCTCTACTCTGCTCTCGTTTCTAAGAGCATCTGCTTGTCTATTCTCCTTCAGTACACCGGAGAAACCATTGGCGCTGCAGAGAAGACTGAATTGGAGCCAGATTTGGAGAAACTTCTTGCCAAAGCAGATGCCACCAAGAGTTATACCGATCAAATAATCAGCCAGACAGAGGCTCTGTTACAGCCAAACCCAGGTGAGCTTATGATACTCTAATAATGGATTTTTAATTGTGAAATAATGACGACATGATAGGATTTCTTAATCTCTATCAAAATCTATAAAATGTCTTCTTCATGATGTACTATACTGTGAAATGTGTAAGCCCTGATAGTTAAATGAGCAATTATGAAATAGAAACATACTGCTATAGTTTGTGCCGTGCTCCTTCCACTATATATAGCCCTGCTCTTTTATGGAGGAGTAACTCACATTGAGTGTTATTACAGACAATAGGTCTGCACCCTGCATCGCTAATGTATCTCATGTGTGGGGTTTTCTGCTTTAGACTCTAATTGACCTGTTAGACAAAAGAGCCTGGTCATTTGGATCCATTTGCCCTCTCCCAACATGATAAAAGATGACATGGTCTGCCATTTATCAAATAAGGGAACCATGATGCAGCTGCCAGAGATAATAAGCATTTACTGGGTGATGTTGGCTTCAGGGTGACTGGCTCTTCTGCTATAAGCAATCGCAAACCATTTCATAAATGTTTATAATAATATACTTTTCATTTGGCACTTTCCTGTTTTACTCATTGCTAAATTTTAGACTAGAATATGTTGATGTTATTTATCACCAAGTAGAAAGTTGATAATGTTGATAATAATAATAGTGACATTTAAAAACTTTATCTTGGGAATCAAAGTGCTTCAAGACGACAGCAAAACATTAACATCAAATGTTTTCCAGGGCTGCAGTCCATATTCATCTACTGTATTGTCAAAGGATAGAGCCCCCTTTCTTACAAAAGACAATACATGCTTTAATATTATAAGAATGAATTGAGCAGAAATAGATTCCCTAAATGTCTTGTGTTTTAATTGTGTAACATATGGTATCTTGAAAAGGCCTTATATTTTGTATGTCTTACTGAAACACTTAAGGGAACCTACATTTTAAACCACTAACTGTGTCATAAAATCTGGTTACCAGCTCTAAAACAGTTCGGTTCTAGCACTATTTTTCTCATGTCATCCCCTTACATCAGATTTTTCAGACAGAAGAGTGAAAAAGAGAGGACCACCCTCACTCAGCCAATCAGCTCTCAGCTCATAGTAATAATAATAATTATGCATACGTTTCAGGACACTCAAAGACACTTCAAATGTCATTATTCTTTCACTACATACACAATGGTAATAACCTACTACATTATACTGTTAAATAGTGACTCAATGGGGGTCTTTCTAAGTATGCAAAAGATTATATTATGTTTTCTAGTAAGATACAGATGAAGATGCCATATTGTAGGTTGAGTTTTTACTTCAGGGTTAAACAAAATGCATTATTTATGAAACAAAAAGGTTAGGTTCCTCAGCTTTAATTCATTACTGTGCTGTGTGTGTGTGTGTTATGCATCACCAAACTCAACATACAGCACAATCTCCTCTGGTTCACTCCACAGGCCTATAGGATGTTGTCATGTCATCTGAAACCTAGCATTTAACAGTGTATTTTTTGCCTGTGTTATGTCTATAGCTGCCCGTTTGGAGGATCGTCTGTATGGGCATCTGGAATGGCGCACTCCCCCTCGCCCTCGCTGTCTGGAGGTTCTGGGAGAGCTCATGACCAGCGCAGGGTTGGAACTGGGCTCCAACACGCCTTATGGTAGGCTTCGAAAGTAGATATTATGTGAATGTCAAATTTGATACATTCTGGCTCTTGTATTGTAGCCAAACGTTGTCCACACCACCTTAATTTCACAATTTCTGACAAGATTATTTTAGTTAATTGACTAAGCAGGTCACAACGTCGTCATGTTTGGCTCTTTCCATCCCAGTTACTTTAAGTTGTCAATCATAAAGCTGGCTACACTTGAGGAAAATGTCAGTAATTGTCAATAATTGCTAATCATTTCAATAAAGTTTTTAATTGTGACAGCCTCACCTCAACCTTATGTTTTATGTCTTATTTTTTTTAAGTGCTTTGAATCTCTCTTGTGCTTTTTTTGGTATTTTTTTGCAAGTCATCCTTAATTATGCAACTACCTACAGGTTCTGCTCTCATCAAATTTGGAGAGACACAAAAGCAGTTTGGAGAGGCAGAGAAAAAGTTTGCACAAAGTACCAACATCCACTTTTTAACGCCTTTGAGAGTTTTCACTGATGGGCAGTACAGAGCCATACAGGTATTCCCAATCATTCGTCATTTGATTTAAGTTCATCCAAATACTTTCCCATTACACAATATTTCAACAGGATGAACGCAGAACTTTGACAAATAAGCGTTTGGATCTGGACATTGCAAAGACCAGGCTGAGGAAAGCCCATGAGGCCGACAGGGAGGCCAGGGTAAGTAAACTATACTAAAGTGACCTACATTGCATGAAATCTTTAAGCGTGTATTTGTTATAACAAGGCTTTGGCTCATGTGAATGAACTAAACACTATTCAGATCTCTATCATATCAAAGAAATCCACTGACTCAGCTTTTTCAACAGAACCTTAATTCTAACCCTATGGAGGAGGACTACATGGCTCATGTTTCATTTATGTTCAGCTTCATACGTGTCAAATGGCTGAAGGTCCGTAGTTCAAGTCCATTCAAATTAAAAACATTACTCAGCACATTCTTAATGTACTAATATTATTGTTTGCCAATCTTTCATTTAGATTTGGGCTCAGGAAATCTCCCAAGTAAGTGCATTACATGATAACACATTCATTCTGATGAGCTAAACTGTTTTTTGCGCAGTGCAGTTATTAAAAAATAGACAAACTCATTTTGTTGAGAAAAATAATGAAGCCACTGAAAGACTGTACTTGGGGAGTCATTTAAGCTAATGAAAAACAGGATATTAGCTGAGATAAAATATTTGTTATTGGTTTTCATAATCTGCACAGTGTAGCCTGTATTCACCTTTTTTATCACATGTTTCCAAAGAATTATTTAAAAAGAAAATCTGCAAATGTTGAACCTAATACTAACAACTGGAGGACCCTTCACTTTTTGTACGTAGTGAATGGCTGGTACTGTTCAAATGTGGGAGATTGAAAGACATTTATCAAATACATGTGCCAGTTAGACCCGCCCCCATAAGTTCCTGATTGGACGCAAGTAATTCTAATCCTTAATAGACAGTTGCAGAAGACACTCTTCTGCAAATATTACTGGTCATGCTTATTCCAAGGGGAGAATTAATATATATATTACTTATGAAAAAGTAAGCGATACTACAGGGTCATATGGTCAAAAATATGTACATTTACAAATACAATTGAAGTAGCAGATGTCAACTATAAGTATACAATTTTTATTACAGTGTGTTTTATTTACTTAATTAGAGTTTAGATTAGTGTATATGTTGTAAGGTGGTTTTGGTGTCCTTTAGGTAATATTACTATAACAATATTATGAAGTCATATAATCATAATAGATCTTTTACTGAAATGTACCCAATGTTACACAATACCTAAAGTTATGTCATATAGTTTTCTTGTTTGTCCTCCCACATCGGCAATTGGCTTGTGAGCAAATAGTAATCTCTTCCCTGTCAGTGGGGCCCCTAAATGTCTGTTTTTACATGCGCAGGCAGAAATGGAGCTGAGGATCTGCCAGAGTCTGTTTGATCGACAGTTGGAAATCACCAAGAGGCTTCTGTCAGGACTCGATGACACGCATGTGAGTTCCACCGACGCGAAACAAAATAGATCTACATTTTTATTACAAATTATCTCTGTGCATTTTAGAGAACACATTTTTGATCTTATTTTAGTTTTACAAGGGCATTTGATTTATTGAGATGTCCTGTATCGGAAAAAATACCAGAAAAATAACCAGAAAACCAGATAAGAATCCTGAGTGCTGCGTTGCTGGACACCATCCCAGATAGTTTGTCATGTTGCATTTTTAAGAGTGAGATAAGTGTGAAGTTTGAAAAGCATGCGGGATTGCAAAAATATTTATTAAGCGATTTGGGAAAACTACTGAGCACCACAAAGCTGGTACTTTGATGTATACTGCCATATAGATACAAGAAAAATAAACTGACAATTGTACATTTGAGACATTTGCAAAGAAGCAGCAGTGGTTCACAGTAGTAAGGGTGATGTAACTGATAGATAATGCGAGGTTTGTGTTTTTAATGAATGTGTTTTCTGCAGATGAACCACATGCAGAGCCTAAATGAATTTGTGGAGGCCCAAACATGTTACTTTGATGAGTGCAATCAACTTTCTCAAGAACTACAGAAACAACTGGAAAGGTATGCGCTCTGTAATAATAATAGGCTATATAATTGCAACCAAATGTCCATATTGGAACCACGAGACATCATTCAATTAGGATTCCAATTATTTTCTCAAATTTCAGATAATTTAGCTTATTACCCTGCGCAATCAGGACTATGAAATGTAAACTGATTTTCTCTTCATCACAGTATCCCTGCTGTATTATGCTCAAACAATTGGCAGTCTGCTATTACCGATGGAGTGGACAAGCCATCAACGGACAATCGTGTTTTGGATGAGGTTAATGGGTCAAACCGGGATAATCCAGTTCTCCTCCAGCGGATCCCAGATTTTGACCAGGACTCTTGGACTGAACCTCAAAAGATGCCGCAAAATGGGGCGGATCTGCTAAGTCTATCCAATAGTAACTTCAATAACAACAACACCATGGCAACAGAAATTCAAGGTGACTTTCAAGCATCCAACGACCAATTTCCCTCCGCTGAAGTTAGTGATAATTACAACGGAGCGTCCAAATCGAAGCCAAAAACACATTTCTCTCTTCAGAGAACCGACACCACCACAGTCAGCGATGAACCAAGCGATGACTCAGAAAACAATGACGATGTTGTTTCTTCTCCGCTATTGAATAATATAGTTGAGATGCCAAACGGTTCTGAAGCCAATTTAGCTGTTGCCAATGAAGAAGAGGGAGCTCCCACAAGTAAACAAGACCTCAAGGAGTCTTAAATAGTTTGTCAAATAATCAGATAAAAGGAAATGTTTATGTGATGACTATAACAAATAGTAAAATATATATATTTTCTAATCAGGAAGTGGTGATGCAACCTCATTCATTATTGAACATTTTCGGTGGAGGACTGGTCGGAATGTTAGAATTTGCCAATAGGTTGCATTCCTGTGACATCACAACCCTCCAAAGAGAATGCAGTTTTAAAATGTGTAGCAGCTGAAAAATATTTCCCGGCAACTGTCAATCTACGTTTACAGATAATGTCTTTGTAATCCCTGCTCCAATGTGCATGCAACAAACACGGTCACAAAGTTCCACATTCATTATTTTCTCAAGAAGGAGTAAAAAAGTAATGACAATATTCCAAATACATGATGTTTGTCGAATTGATTTTTAGACATTAGAATAATATAGTAATCTTTTATTAGCAAATAAAAAGACTCACCATTGAAACAAATAACCCAACATTCATAGGGACTCAGCAGTTACCCCTCAATCATACATACGTAATAACTGTTGAATTATTCAGAAATGTTGACCTCAAATTAGAATGACGTGAATGCCGTCTGTATGGATTAAATTCCATGGGAGAAATAATTGAAGCTATGTTTGTCTACACAGAGTGCCGCGGGACTTGGCTTGTTAGCATCTCAGAGTAACTGCGTGTACAAACTGTCGCACAGCGGTCTGCCATTAGCCGGCAGAGTGATTATTCCCAATGGGGGATCTCATGAAAGGGGAAGTGCGAAATAGTGCCAGTCTTTTAGCCATATCAATATTATATTCTTTATCTGTTGTTTCAAATGTGATCTGCCTCAGGTCGTTTGTAAAGTAGCTGTCTATTAACTTAAAAGAAAATATATTAATTGTGCCATTGTGACATGTGACTTGTTTATGAATTGCAATTATTTTCAGTAAATATGTGCTAGAAATCTACTCTCCTTTTTGACTGCATAACCATTTACAAGGCAGATCTGTTGAGCTGTAAGTAAATATTTTGGGGGTATTTTATGGGGTGATGATTAAGACAGGCTTGGTTGTGTGTTGATGTTGTTTGGAGCCACTGAAAGCAACTATAGCTACTTTTAAATTATGTATTTACTACTTTAAAGTCCTTTCCTCTGCCTTATCTTGCTGCTAACCACTACAACTCTAACACCAACTCATTGTTAAAGTTAAAATTACTCAAAATGACTTTGTGTTAACACTAAATAGTATGCTTTAAGAGTATATGATATGATCTAATGAAATAATAACATTATAAATATAAAAAGATCATTTCTTTTGGAAAGTCTTTTTTACTATACCCAAATTGATGAACTATGATTACTTGAAACTGAATAATACATAAATAATACATTTTGGTATTTTACAACAGAAAGATTTCGCTAAAATTAAGTTGTGAACAAATCTGACCACACCATGCTTTCTTTGTTTCATTATAAAACATGTATAAAGTAGTTACTTGGAGCTGAAAGCTGATTGGCTGATTCAGGGTGGTTCTCTCTTTATCTTTTCTGTCTGAAAACGCTTAACTAAAGATGTGACAGACACCGATAATGCATGCAAAACAACTAGTCATAGATACAAACTGTTTTGAGTTGTAGGAAATAGTTTGAGTAGCATGTTTTTGTTGTTTGAGAATAATACACTCCTGCATTTCATTATTGCCGAGAACTTTAAAAATAGTACATTTTGTAGCATTAACCCAAACTTATAACCCCCCATAATATACCATGCTCTATTAAAACCTTAGTTAGTCTCCCTCTTGTACCAGAGTTATTTACAGTGTACCCATGATGCAATTCCTGTTTAAATGGGTGTAGGTAAAATGCAACCTCCTTTTTTTGACTGAGCTGAGGTCATTCATTTGCTTCACAAACACTACCTCCTGTGTCGTGGCTCTGGGGGCGACCGGCGAGGTGGCAGCTAATAGAGCCATAACAGGCCCAGGAAACATCTCTGTCGCTGGAATGGGGTGGGTCTCCGAACACATCAACATCTCCAAGTCCAAATGATTACCCCCCCTTTAGCTGAAAGTTTCCATATTGCTTGTTTTGTAACTGAAGCCAGCCATAATGCGTCTTTACCAGTGTCGTCAGCTCTAATAGGCTTTTCTCTCTCACTGCTTTGACAGACTCCACATGTCCGGCATACACATGTACTGAATCGTATGTCAAAGCTGATGCCAGGTTGTTTTTGTATTGCACATATGGACATATTTAAATAAAAATGCTGTTTGAACATTTTTGCTTGTGAGCGTCATGCAAATTTATGACTAAATCAAATTGTGAAGTATGTAATTCCCTTTAATGTACAGTAGAGTAGACCTTGAGAAACGGGATATGCGATGCAACGTTATCTAATTTAACTCCGATCATGCTCCCAGACAGGCCAGCAAATGCCAGGTCTTATACCTAACAAGCTTTTGATGTGGTCCTTACTGAACTCTAGCAGAGGGCACTTCTCGCTTGACATTGAAAGAAAGGTGAGCGTCTTGAAATATAGATTAAATTTGATCAAGATTACATTATATTTTGATTAGAAACTAAACATGTTTAGCCCCTGTATGTAACTTCTACCCAAACTAAATTTGAAAGGTGATTGGAATTGGACTATACTGTTGACTGTGGCTTGATAATAACTTAAATGTTAAATTAATCAATTCAATTCATTTTTGCATAGCCCTACCGCAGTAGTTTTCTCAGAGGACTTTACGAAGTTGTTAATTCGCCAACATCAGATCAGAAAATTAAACTGTTCGAAAACAGGAAATACAATAATAACAAAAACATAGTCCATTGGGAGCAGGATGACCATAAATTGTAATAAATGTCCCTAATTATCACTGTCCTTAGACCCTCCTGTATCGGGAAGGAACAATTGTCTTTATAAACCCAGTGAGTGGGGAAAGAGAAATCTCTGGGAGGCTATAGGAAGAGTTGACATATTGATTGAGATATATCCTTTAAAATACCAGACCAGATTTTGTGTTTGACGTTTTATGGTATTATAATACATTATCAATCAGGTCCAAATCTTTTAATTCCATGCGCAAGCAATTCTATGTTCAGTATAATTGTCCTTTATCGATCCATGATAGGATTTTAACTGGATAATCTATACTGCACAAGTGTCTGTTATCGACCCTTGGAGTGACTTGGGACGCTTAGATTTCCCTTTGAGTGTGGTACGTCTCATTCAATACTCCATCTCATTATAATGTACAGTCACAGTTAATAAAAAAACAAACTGAGCGGAACCTGCCATAACATCCTGCTCAAGTGATATTGGATTGAGCTGAAACACACATTGGACAAATCAATGCATGTGGGATGTGTGTGGGAGTCAAGGATTATTGTAGAAGACACATAAAGATGTCTTTTCTTGGCGGTTTTAACTTGATTTAATGTGTGTTGTATAAAAAGTAATATAGATTTTGTTTTACTATAGCATTGACCAATCATCATAACCATCTTCGAGGAATTTAGATCATACAAAAATTTGCTTCTCGTGAACTTCCAGTGTGACATGCATCTTCACGAGCCACCTCAACGGACTCCTCTCGACGTGGAGAAGCAGCAGCTCTACTTCGAGCTCCCTCCGCGCCAGTCACTCTGCAGAGGAACTCCTTATCGACCGCCAAAGCTCATCCTCTGCTTTCCTTCATACAGTAGGTGCGACTGTTCCAGTTTATGGTTTTGCACGTCTCCATGGTAATGAGCGACACTGTGTCAAGTGGTGGCACTGTGTCAAGCCTCAGGGGAGACTTGCTTATTAAACTTTATAGGGATTTTGTTCTAAAAATGTAGCAGCTATGGAAAGGTCCACACATTCCGCAGTCAGCCAAATCTAAAAAATATATATTTATACTTATACAGAATACAGTATGTACAGTATGTCGTTTTTTGTCTAGTTTTGAGGCCAAACAAAGCATGCAAAACAATATCCGTGAAAGTGGAGCCTTGAGTGCACTTATAGAAATGTGAGAAAGCTCTACCTACTTCCCTTTACCTTCCTGAAATTGTCCCAGCTCTGGACCAGGCATCACTGTTTAGACACTGTTCTGTAAAAACTATTTTTATCTCCTCCTGTTCCCTCCTCGTCCATCTGCAGACAGCTCTTTCTCTGGTGCCTTTTCTCTGGGCTCCAGTGACGCAGGAAGAGCCACCAAATTATCCTCTGCTGAGCTGCTAAAAGTTATACATATTCCCATTCCCTGGAGAAAAACCTATTGTGAATGTCAAAAATGCTTTAACCAGCCGTTCATTAAGAACGTGATGCTACATTGGTGCTATCAGGATCAAAAAAGTTCTTCTGCTCTTACTTAAAAGCTAAGTGATTCTGTCAACCTGCATACACTGCTTTTGGATTTATAATTTAATTTAGACTCGAGCAGTTGTTGGTGTTTCGGGCTCATGTGAAACTTGTGTTGGTAATGTGATCTTAGATTAAAAAGCATGACATTCGGATTTTCTAACGCACCAGGAACAAGTGGGGATATTTAATTTGCATTTGTGCTATAAATTATATTGTATTCTTATGATTTCTGTTGAATGATTTTATGGGAATGTAATAGGTGTGACATTACTAATTATTCAGTTATTAATATGTATTTTATAGCTCAAAAACAAAAAATAGTTGCCTCAGATCCAACTTGTATTTTGGTCTGATGGCCTCCCTTGCTACATGGGTTTAATGACATACATTCCATGCAAAGCTGTAACATCAATAGAGTGTGGTATTTTCAAGCTGCTGTGGAAGAATCCATGTTGTGGAGAGAATCTGTTTACATGAATTAAAATTCTTTCCTTGCCACATTTAAAACAAGTCTGTTTTCAAGGACAATTCCAGGACAAATGTCACAAAACTAGAAAACAAGGAATTAGAGCACACTTAATCTTGGTTAAAAGAGACGAAACACCCAGAAAAACCACCCACTTGTCGTAAACTTCTCCCACTGGCAGACTCTGCACTGGGACTATGCGGTTTGTTCATTAGTTTGTAGCTGTTTTACTTCAACCCTCATTTGTCTGGCAACGCCCTATGTGGCATTTCCCCCCAATCTTTACCGTTCCCTTTAATTGGACGTCACAATGTCAACAAAGCCATTTGCAAATCCTTCTGTTATCATTCTTGTTGTGTTTTTGTGTTGCCAGATGGTGGATTTCAGTGGGACAGTTAAAGTGTATGGTTGCCAGGTTGGGGGCGGTTGTCAACAGCGTCTGGAACATGATATGACTGCAACAGAATTGAGCATTAACCTAATAGAAAACTGACCTGTATATGTAGGTGGTGGAGACTTTGAAAAACTGCAGAAATGAGTGTGATGACTCAAAAGCTTGGCTGAAACAACTAAACGACTGATTTCAGATTTTTTAATAAAACAGCTCAAGAGGAAGAGGTCATTGGTTTTTTTATTCCTTTATACGGCCCCTACTTTTTATTTTTGTATGTGTTTTAATTAAGCATGGATTGGGGTGTGAAGAACTAGGAGGACATTCATAAATTGCCATAATCAAAGGATGAAGAGGCCTGTACAGTCCCATTAATAATAATAATAATAATAATAATAATAATGCATTGGTTTCATATAGAACTCTTCAGGACACTCAAAGGCACTTTAAATATTAGATTTGTCCGAACCAATCCTCATAGCAGCTTGCTCCCCTCTTCAATAAATCTTTCCATCTGATTTGCTCGTAATCCTCATCCCAGACACAACGGCAAACTGCAATTCTAAAACATCTGCAAACACTGGAGTTAATCCAGTGGCACAGAGGTTGGCAATGTGTCTGTGTAGGTTTCCTCTGGGTGCTCCGGTTTCCCCAACCACTAGGCCAGCACTTCACGAGATCAGGGTGAATTTGTACAACTCTGGGACAATGAATGCAAATTTGCTCAAGACATGAACCCACATCCTCAGATGTGGGTTCATGTCCCAACCAAATAAATACATAAACAAATCTTGTGGTGAGATATGATGCTTTTTCACACATTCAAATTCACATAACGATTTTGTCCTGCAGGGGAAGAGTGATCAAAGCACGACTGCCAATCTGTGCCCTATAGTGATTTACCCACATCATAGGTGGTTAGACATTACTGCAGTTGTGGTTTTCCCAGTGCGGTCTCCCATCCAAGTACTAACTCAGTCTATCCATTATTAGCTTCAGTGAACTCACAAGACTACAATTAGGCATCACATATCATACATTTTTTGTAGTTTTCTCTGAGTACTAAGGGTCTAAGGACAGGGGATGCACCAGAACAGGGGATGCTTCATGTGTTTTGTTCATTTTCTCATCTGCTTTTGCAAAATTAGATGGATTTGATTTGATTCCAAAATATTGAGCAATTTGGATTTCATTCAGTACATGGTCGAGTGTCAATGAAGTACCACAACTAGAGAGCTTTCATTTAGTCTGTCAATACTTGTGTAGAAATGTTTAAATATGTTTGTGATTAAGTTAATATTTATGCATGTTCATTAGGGCCCATTGCACTTGCTAGTATTTTGATTTTGAAAGCTGCCATCGCGGTCTTGTGAGCAGGCCTCCCCCTCTGGCCGTCTGCTGTCGTTAAGCTAAATCCAGACTAAACAATCACTGGGACATCTGCAGCTCCACGGGCCACGACTAAATGACCTTTTCTGTCTTCCCAAATCACACCTGCTTAAAATAAACCTGTAAAAACCAAGTCAGACGCCAAATGTCACTGTCCTCATCTCACTATCTCCTAAAACATGTTTTCTTCTAAGCATTGGATAATCCCTAACTTCGCAAACGCTGACGTTTTTTGGATGATGGTTCTGGGTCCTTTTTGACGGAACAGCTGATAATGTGTCCTCCGAGAGTATTCTTGTGTACGTTTCGCTTTGCTTTTTGTTTTTGCATTTTTGTACTTTGTATAAATCTTTCCTCAACTATTTCTCAATATCTGATCTTTAGTACATTTAAACAAAAAAAATACATCAAAATTAACTCATTGTGTCCCATTGACGCACAAATACGTCAAAGCAAATAGTAACGTCGTGTGCCATTGACGCATTAATCCGTCAATTGCCTTTTTCGCTATTTTCACGTTCCCAGATGTCTATTGTATCTAATATATATGGGGATGACTTGAGACCATATTTTATCGAGCCAGCAGGTGGCAGCATTGCTCTCTGAATGGTTTCAAAACATGTAGGTGCACATGCTGTGCCTCTTTTTTCTCAACTTTCTGGTGATTTCTGGTGATTTCAGTAAAACTTCCCTCTACTCGACGGAGGATTACAGGGGAACGGAAAAAGCTATAAACAAAATTCTTTTTGCTGATGAAAGTAGACAGTCCATTCTTTTAGAATCTGGTGTTGGATTTCAGATAGTCATAGTACACAATATTCTGTGGGTCTTTAAAAATCAGTAAAAATCATCAGAAATGGCTGGCACTGTGGGAGTACCTGTTCTGAAATAGGCTGGCATTCAATTGTGAGAGCTATAAATAATATGGCGTTCCGTGGTCTTGGGTCGAATCCCGGTCGGAACAGGGCCTTTCTGAGTGGAGTTTGCATGTTTTTGTGTGTCTGTGTAGGTTTCCTCCGGGTGCTCCGGTTTCCCCTACCACTAAAAACATGCACAATAGATATGACTGTAATGAGTGAGTGAATGGATGGTGTTTGGTCGGAGGCTTCTGTCATCACAGTTTGGAGAGAATGTAACGATGTCTGAACTCTGAACAGTTTAATGTGCTTTGGGTGACCTTGGTCTGTAAATAATGCACTATATAAATAAAGATTACTTACTTAAGAACTTACGTAAATTATTAATGACATTTGGAGAGGTTTGGGAAAGCTGGTAAATTGCATTCATATAAGGCATTATTATACACTGATTTTCAACTTGTTCTACACCTTCGCCTCTCAGCAAGAAGGTCCTGGGTTTGAATCCCGGCCGGAACTGGGTCTTTCTGAGTGGAGTTTGCATGTTCTCCCCGTGTCTGCGTAGGTTTCCTCCGGGTGCTCCGGTTTCCCCTTCCACTAAAAATATGCTCACTTGGTAAAATCCTTCTGCTTCGGTAGGAGATGGGTTCCCCGGCGCTGTACTACGGCGACCACTGCTCCTGACGTAAGCCTTCGCGGTATCAGGATGGGTCAAATGCAGAGGACAAATTTCTCTACGAGGACAATAAAGTACACATTTACATTTACATTTACCTTCACCAGACCAATCAGGGAATATGCAAGAATATAAATGGTGTTAAGAGGGCACAATTTCTAACTTAAAGCTGGGGTACCTGTCTTTATTAATGTTATTTTTGTTTGCTCATTTTCTTTATGTTGTTGTTCCCAATAGAAAGAGTGCTGTAAAGTTGTGTTAAATGTTTTAAACGAATCAGACCACAACAGCTGTCTTCATCTTTGCATACTGTATGTGAGAGAAAGAGCCCTGTGAGTCACTATTTGACCCTTTGAGCTAAAAGTTACTCACAGGGCATGATGGTGGTCTTTTCGTTTTCACTTTTCTGTCTGAAAAGCTGATCCAAAGGTGTAACAGAGGCCAATATTAATAATACATCCTTTAGTGGATTTTTTTTCATATAGTTCCATTGTTGGCGGTTTGAAAGTTAGGTACCCCTGCTTTAAATTCTAAACAATGCAAACAGCTCTTACATTATAAATACCACACCATCAGTTTACTCACTGTTAAATCCATAGATACAATATTTTGCACTCATATTTTGCCTCCCCGCCCCGGTTCGCCCTCTCATGACGCCTGTATTTTCGCCACAGTCACTTTACCTCCATCGGAGCATTACTCAGCCTGCTCCCTCCCGCTCTCTCCACCCCCTCCACTTTAAAAGAGTCCACTCAAAACACACACTCACTCAACTTCATGCTGGCATTGGAGCAGCTGAAGAATAGAAAAGTAGTTTTGAAAAATATATCATTTATAGGTATGTTTTTCCAAAGCCTCTGGAGCCTGTGGTGGATTTTTGGATGCTTCGCTGCGTCTGTGAATGATGTTGACTATGACACAAATTGTGCTGAAAACTACGATAATGAAATTTCTCAGGATCAACAAGAAGGTAAGACACTGGTGATGCTATGCTTTAATAATTATTTCAATTTTTTATGTATATCCATTAAACCATAACAACAAAATATCTGCTATGTGTTTATTTTAAATACAATAATTCGTTCCATAATTATCTAAATACACTCAAGTAGGTTTAGTGTACAAACTTATTTTTTAAGGACTGCAGGCATCTTTTCATTTTAAAGTTAGCTTAAACTGTCTGTCATATATTAATCTAACATTTGAACTTCTTTCAGAATAAAAAAAAGTACATATAGTGTAAGAAACTGGTTTGATGACTTCAGTGTAATAATTAAACAGAAATGGGCAGGAATAGGTGGGAATTTTAAAAAGCACTTAAGCCTCAATTGCAAGACAATTCTGGTTTACTCAAAAATACAAAATAGATTTAAATAAAAGAGAATAACAAGGAAAAACAACAAGGCTAAAGGTCTGACAAGTTTAAACCCCAACTTTCAAATCATGCATAGAATAACATCTTTGAATCAAGTTCCTCGCTCTCAAAAAAGTTTGGTTATTCCACTAGTTTTTACATGAATTTAATTTTGGCATTTGTCATATCTTTAGATCAGCCTTTTTTGAGACAGAAAAGTGAAAAAGGGGCCATCCCACTCATTTCGTTTTGGAAGTGTCTTTTTAACTTCATGACTTTTTCTATACTTAATTTATTTCTAAATCATTATGTTTCTGAAATTATCTCGACCCTAGACTGGTTCAGAGCGATCTCAGCTTGGAGTGATAGTTACCATAGCAACACACCGTTTCCTTGCATCAGATATTAATCCATTAAAGATAAAAGTTACTTGATTTTAACAGAAATGTTTCCCCGAATTCTATTAATTTGAATAGGAGCTGTCAAAATGACTTCTCTGAGTCAAGGTCAAGTTTATTTTTTATTTCATTTCAGTTCATTTTTAGAAAACAGACATGACAGTCACAAAGTGCTTTCCAGACATTACAAAATACAACACAACACTCACAAAAAATACAGCACAAAAATAAAATAAAATACTGGTCCATTATCATAAAAGCTTCATTTTTAACTAATTGACTGCCAGCCATTTTTGATGACTTCACTGTATTTTCAAATGACGTTAAATCAAGTCGATGGCAGTCAATGAGTTAAAAAGCTGAGCAAAAAAATGTGTCTTTAGCTGCAATTCAAGTAGATTCACCCTAGTGTTAATTTTTATTTTTTTCTACCCTTCACAGACTCTCCTTCAGCGGGCCCTTGCCGGGACGATTCCCCCCGCTGGGACAAGCTCTTCATTGCCCTGGAGGATTCGCACATGCGTCAGAACCGGCTGCTCTCGTCTGTGGAGCAAAACTGCGGAGGAGGCGTCAAGATGCTCTGGGACAAAGTGACCAAAGGGGGCTGCCATATGTGTGCTGCCAACATGGAGAAAATATGTAAAACCCAATCTGAGCAGACCGACTCCAAAATACACCAGGATTTAATGGATATTATGAATTTCAACATCGATTTGGAACGAAATTTGAATTTGACATTGCAACACATTTTACGCAAGAGCCACGTGACCAACGAAAGACTGAAGAGACTTGAAGACTGTCCCAAAATGTCACCTCATCCCACACTGGTGACTAAGGCGCATGGGACCTCAGTCTTAGATAGTGGCTTAAAAGAACAGGAAGTAGAAAATCCATTGATTGCGACCACCCTGGTCACCATAGCAACGGAGCTACAAAGAATACAACTCCAGCTTAACGAAGTGATTGAGGAAACGAGGAGGAAGAATACATAACTGGATGAAGAGGATAAATATACTGATGTTTTAAACTTGCTCAAGACTATTGAAATTGGTATATATTTGTACTTCAAAATCAAGTACTATATCTGTATCAAAAATATAGTATTTAGACTTGTATAACATCTATATCATTTTTGTGTACATTGCTGCAATCAAATCATTAGAAATATTCATTGCATTGAAATATTTTTTTTTCCAAAGCAAGCCGCAGTTAGACCCGCCCACTCTAACCCCCACTGCTTCCTAATCGGATGGAATACATTTCATTGGTTGGGACAAAGAGAGCGAGGGACTGTAATAAATATTGCTTTTTGAAAACTACCGGTACTTCGTTTACGTGTTGCAGGGTCATAGGGTCAAAATAATGAATTATTTTTAAAAATTAAATACCATTGAAGTTACTGACATCAACTTTAATAATGTATTGTCTTCCCATCGATATCCATAGAGTAGCCTTACGTTTGAAACAGCTTGAACACTTCTTTGTGTTTTTTGTGTTGTTCCTTGCCGATGCAGGAGGGTCAAAGGACAGTGATGATCTGGGACATTTCGGGACATTTTTTAACACATACAGACATCCGTCATCTGCCCCCTGTGAACCAATGGCTCCTATCCATTTTCTTCCCCTTAATCCATTTCTGGCTCAGGGGGGTGGCAGTCCGAGCTGCACCCAGTGCACAGAGCACCAGCCCCTCACTGATCCTCCTGCAGGTGGTGAGTCCACAGGAGCTTTGATTTTTCAGCGGGGGCTTCAGGCAAAGTGGGGTTAAGGACACAACGACAGCAGTCATCAGTGGGAGTCTTGAAGTGGGTCTTGTGGTGGGCTCGAACTTACAACCTTCAGGCTCTTCAGCTCTCTTCCTGTATTTGAACTGCTTGATTCTCTGATCTGTTGTTGGTGAATTGACACATTTGTCCTCAGAGACAACTGCTGTGGTTTATGGCTTTACAACAATAAATGTGTTTGTAATGAACAGAATGGTTTTCATACCAGTTTTTGCACATAATAGCAAGTTTTAGTGACAAATAGCTTTAGATAATGTGGTGGAAGACTTGTAAACAGAGTTGTGATGGATAGAGAAATGAATATTATTGCAAAACATGGATATTTTATGTGATGGCTGCTGGCATAGCTTAGCAAATGCACAATTTTCTGCTTGTAATTTTCTATTCCCACAGCACCCTTTGTTTATCATGGTTGCACATCTTAGATTCAGTTAAATCTCAATCATTTCATTTCATACAGTCTCATGAAGTTTGCCCTTGCCTTTGTCTGCAGGGAGCTGTTTATGACATAACCGAGGCCAGCTTTTGCTCACCAAACATTTCCTTCAATTTACCACAAATGAAAAGAGACAATTTTCTGAACTGGTCCCTTTTGAATCAACAACATTAAAACAACACAGACAACCACGCATTATTTTGAACATGCACCAATTTGAATCTTTTGATCGCAATGTTTTCCAATGCAGCAGATTTCAGCCTCACTTCCATGGCTGCCTTTTGTATATTTCTTTACATCCTCCTTTTTTCAGCATTCCTTATAATTTCCTGTTGTTCAGAAATGTATTTGTCGGGGATGCTTGGTGTTGTCCTGTAATTTCAGAGCTGCAGTCTTCTTGGCACCGATGTTATGGCACAGTAGTAGTAGTTTAGCCTCTACTTAAACTGCTGCCAACCTCTCCCATTCATTAGCAGCTTTATGAGTGTAATGCAAAGAGGCCATAGCATTAACTTCCAAGATGATGCCAACATGTGTTTTATGGTTATGATGTTGAACAGCTGATTAGGAATATGAAATGCTTTATGTTCCCCTAATTGCTGTTTATATTATCCAGAGCACTGAAGACATCTGCTTGCATAGTCTAGTTATCAGAGACATTTATGTGTCTGCCCATGTCTTATAAACCCACAGATGGCTGAGGAAAGACTTTTTATAGACTAGGGTATAGAAAAAATATGCAATTGCCAAACAACTATAAATGCAATACAGTATAGTTTTATATAGTTCTCTCCAAAACTTCAGATTGAGCTAATTTGGCCCTTTTTTTGTCTGTTTTATCATAGTATCAAATAAGAATGGGTCTAATGCATTGATTTAAACCATGTTCAAAAAAAGTTGAATAATTTCAAAACTTTGTTATGGTCTTTTTTTTTTTTAAATCCATGTTCAAATATTTGTGGGCAAAATGTGCAGAAGTGCATCCATCCATTTTCTTCCCCTTAATCCATTTCTGGGTTGGGGGAGTGGCAGTGTAAGAGCTGCCTCCAGTACACAGAGCACCAGCCCCTCACTGATCCTCCTGCAGGTGGTGAGTCCACAGGAGCTGACATCTTTCAGTTGGGGCTTCAGGCGAAGTGGGGTTAAGTGTCTTGCCCAAGGACACAACGACAACAGTCATCGGTGGGAGTAAGTTGTGCAGAAGTTCAAGTTGTATTAATACTTTTGCTAGCACCGTAGGCCACATAATAATCATAATTTTCTATGCATATCTTTTAATTCAAACTTGGTGTTACCTTAGGAAGATTGCAAAAACCAAATATTTGGACAGTGGAACATAGAATAACAAGATTTAACACAGTAAAAGACAATCCGTTTGAATTTAAGGCATTTTCATCATTCAAAAGATAAACTGTTTGTTATTTATAATTATTTAAAACTGTTTCTTAGGTATCCTATTGTTTAAGTCATGTCTCATACCTCCTACGCTGCCTCTCCGATCTGCAAAGCCTCTGCTAGACTTGACAATGACAAATCCTGACGTGGCCTTCCCCGCTCAGTCTGTCAGTGTGAAGATGTTGTGTTGATGCTTTCCTCTGACACGATGCTGTTTTATCCCTCAGCCTTCACGGCGGCTCCACTCTCTGCTTATCTGTATGCCAAAGCTCTCGTATCAGGCTCGGGCCAAATCGTTTATCTCGACCAACCATCGGCGCTCTTTCAATCATTTCCCTCCCCCGTCTTCCTACTAATTTATCTGACAAAACCATCAATTTATACTTCTTCCTGCCCTCTCCTCACAAACCGATCAATCCAGCTGCTGAGTGACTGACACAGCCCTGAAGGAACCCAAACATTTCTAGACTGTTTGGGTTCTAGACAGACAGTTTTCTAGAATTTGCCTGTTCCACCATCTCCGTCATAGATTCAAATGTTAGTCATATCAAGATTATGCAAAATTCAACCTCTTTTTGGTATTTTTAAGCATTAGATTAATGTTCTATTGATCAAATATTCTTTGCATGTATTTCAAATCTTGTATATGTGCACAGTAATCTAGGATGCACTAAAGAGCTACTTTTCAATAGACAATCAATTAAATACACAATGTTCTCCGATCAGATATATTTCATATTAAGGGGGTCTTGTGCAACTTTTATGTGGAAAATAAATTCTATATTTTTGCCAATTTGAACTGGCTCTGCGGCTGTATGAGTGGTCAGCATGGTGCCTTTTCTTGCATCACAGTGGTCTCGAGGATGCTATAGGATCAATTGTTTGGATTTCTCTGCTGACAGACCCTTGCATCAGAAAACCTACTTATCGACTGATCCTGGAAAGTAAAGCGGTGCCTACTCTCACAAGCACTGGGTCACTACAAGGTCAAATGTGCAAAAATATACACTTTTTTTTCCACACAAAATGTTGCATAATGCCCTTTTTAATGTGTGATAGCGACCGGATTGAATGAGTCTCTTGTTTCACTTTTCAGGGTCAAATATAGCGTTAGGCTTGAGATCATTCGCTTCGCCCTGTTAGTCTGTTAGTTGATGCATGGTATATATTTCTAGTCGATTACACAAAGGCATGAACAAATTACTATAAAGAGTGTTTCATAGATTTTTAATGTCACATCATCACAGCATCACTGAACATGACGACACAAGATTGGCACTTTCCCAAAAGCAAAGACATTACAAAATAGATGAAGCTTTAATAAACACTTAGCATCAAGTCTCTTATGTACAATCGATACGCAATTCTAACCTAAGAAATATTCTGAAAATAACAACGTAACCTTGTAGTACTCACAAAAATTCGAATCATATTTTTTTTATTATTTCATAAATTCAGAAAACATTGTCAAAGTCTTACTTTTACACTATGTCCCAACGTTTGGAAATGAAGGTTGTATTTCTTGGTATTGTGAAGGCTGTGAATGTGTCCATCTATTTAATGGGAGAATCCAGGATCTCTTCATACTCCTCTCTCTGGCGCCTGGGCGCAACTCGTGACGGCAGCAGCTTCATGGCCACCATCCAGCTCACACTTATCAAAACAAAAACATTCCCAATTATTTCAAGTGCGGAAGGTGGTTCTGGCAAGATGGCAAGATAGAGGAGCATGGCGAGTGGCAACTCAACACTTTGCGAAGCTGAAACTACGGCTGGATGCAGACGAGTGAGTGCATGGGTCATTCCTAAGAAAGCGGCAACGGAGCAAGCGACTAGTCCCACGATTAGACCCCAAGCTTGGGGACTCATGGGCCAGGACCACCCCTCCTGGAGAAGAGCCAGTGTAGCAGGGGAAAGGAGGCAACCAGTCCAGCTGACGGTGAAAAGGGCCGTTCCAACGCCAACTTTCTCCTTTAGCGATCTGTATCCGACAAGCGCAAGGGCCATCCATAGCCCTGCGAGAGCTGACAACGCCCAACCAAAGGCCCCTTTCCAAAACGCCACGGGATCAGAAGGAGCATCCACGTTGTAGTCGTCAACTGTCGGAAGCAAGACCAGACCCAACCCGAAAAGGCCGGCGATCATCGAGATGCTGTCTATCAAACCCAACCGTTCCTCGAGCAGCAAAAACGCGAGAATGGCAGAGAGGGCAGTGGTTGTGAGTCGCCAAGTGGTAGTAGCATTGCCGTTTGAGATAAAAGTCAAAGAAGAGTATGCGCAACACAGAGAAAGTGAGTACGCAATCCCGTAGAAGAACAGGCGTAATCGATAGCCGCGAGGTCCAAACGGATTTTCACCTCTTTGTAGGGGAACTGCGACGGAAAGGAGTTGGGCGACCGATCGGACCAAGAGCAAAAATAGTGGGCCTAAGTTGAATTGTTCTGATGCTACTCTAGTTAGGACGATGAGAATGCTGTGCGCAAATCCTGCTCCAATCAACCCAACCCACGTTAAACGGGACGCAGTTACCGAAGCTTCCCCAAAACTCGCCAATTGCTCCCCTACGCCTTTAGTGGTCGGTCCCTTTGCTGCTCTACCACCAACATCTGCACCTTCTCCGCTCGTCCCAGGCACAGATGGAGGTTTTGTTGTGCTTTCTTTGTCTTTTGAAGTAAATAAAGTCAGCGGCCATTTCTTTCCCTCTGTTAACCGTTTTTTGTCCGATGTCTCTTCTATGAAAGATCCAAAGTCCTCGAACGAAGGCGCGTCGTCGTAGCCTTCGTCGCCGGGCTGTGGGAAGTGGGTGTGGATGCCCGGCTGGGGGGAGTATGGGGTGCGGGTGGCATATTGGGCGGTCACTGTGTGCGGGTGGATCTTCACTCGTTTTTTAGTGGTCCCCAAAAGGTGAGCTGACTCCATGGTGGGACGTCAGATTGGACATATATCTGAAATGACAAAAGCAAAGATTTGTTCAATGACTTCAAGCATTTCATCTAACTCGCATATCCCAACTGCTTACTTATACATTTACAAATTCATATTGTAATTCAGTAATAAAACCTAATAATAGTTCCTGCTCAATGTGTTCAAACTTAGTACATTTCTTCTCAGGTCCGCTGCATTAAAATCTATAATGTCTTCTTTTTTTGTTAGCCAATAGAGAAAATAAAACCATAACACCTCCAGAACTGTGAAATCTTTTCCAGTTAAATCCAACAGTTATCTGAGCTGAAGCTGGACCAGTTTTTTTTTTTTCATTTATTTTTTACAAAAAGTGAATAAGGATTTTTTGACTTCCACCTGGGATTTTTATTTTATTTATTACAGCGGTCTATATATCATTTTCAATTAGAACCCAACCCTTGATCATTCTACAGTCATTTAGACCCAACCTCCAGACACCAGCTCCTTTATCAACCTTTATGTCTGCAAAAAAATGTCGGCAGAGTTTGAAATTGATCGTTCACTGTGTAGAAACTGTTCCCGTGTATAATCAGGAGTAAATACTGTAAGTCATCAGAGGCCAAAACTACTGGGCAATGACATATACCAATGTTCTCAGTCATTTAAGAGAAAATAGGAAAGGAGTGTAAGAGATTAAGGAGTAAGTGAGGGAAAGAGTTTATCGTTCTTGTGATTATTGGTATGAATAAAACACAGGGAGAAAGTAAGGACAACATTTGGGTGTCCTTAGTTTTTTTTTTTTCCCACCTACATTGTATTTCCACCCACTGTAGTGTTTTCCGTCTTATAGAAATGTTGCCAGTTCTGCAAATGTGAATGAATAAGCTACATATCGTGTTGTAATAATAATATAATTAAATCCAAAAAGCATGTGTCTTCATGAATTGAGCTCTTGTTTGATTTTCTAAATTTCGTAATGAAAATCTAACCCACAATGTAATCCAAGTTTAAAAAATTGAACAATGTCTGTGCAGGAGAGATGACATGTAGCTTACACTGTGCCTCTATAGTGCATCAAACTGGCTCTAAAACAGAAGTCACTCTGGGACAGAATCCAAAATGCTCTCTCTTTACCTGCTCACTCAAACAGCGCCTCTCTGGACATACGTCATATCTCTTATATCTTTAATTAATAATATCCGGAATAATAATAGCAACTGAGTCATATCTGCCTCTCTACTGTATGTGCACGTGATCAAAAACAGAATATTCTCTTGACGTAAACAGACAAATAATAAAGATTAACACTGTTGACAAAATGATGTTAAATTACATTGTGTCATAATGTGAATAATAGTCTGCTCTGAGTGCGTCACCTTTGTGCTTTCTCTGCAAGCATTAGAATATTAATTACATAAGAGAGTAAATTTAGAGCCTGGGGCCCTAAATTTCTCTCCTTGTCCTCACTGTCACTCCATTGCCTTCATACTGAATATAAATGTCCTAATATATGCCTATTAATCTCTATTTCATTATAATGCCCTCTGATTCCGGTCTCCTTCATGGGCAGCTAACCCTAAGCATTGGAGTTATGGCTCTCTGCAGTGCTCTGCTGGTGAGGCTGTTATACAAGAGCCTGCCCAGTGCATTCACCAGGTATTTGGGGATCATTATCTAGAAACGCCAGATCTGTTTGGGAATGTCCAGTTTTCCTGACGAATATGTTAAAATCTTTCTAAAACATCGCAACCACAGCAAACCATCTGCCTTTGAAGTGTGAGAAAGCAGTGTTTATGTTGTCTTCATTGAGCAATAGGATCAGAGCCCATCACCGAAGACCGTGTGGGAGGAGATGAATGAAAGACCGTTTGGAAATATATCAAGTTTAAGAGCGTGAGGCAGGGGAGATGGATTATTTAAGTTTTTTCAATTGTTTATGAAGGAATTTGGAAGTTCACTTTTGGCAGAACAAATCTTCATCAATGCAGTCAGTTGTTGTACCCAGTGCTCTTTCCACAAACATTATTTTATCATAATATTTTTTTGAATGGGCCAAGATGATGTTAAAACATTTGTGTTTTTCAGTTCAAACTTTTCCACTTAAAGACAGTGTGTAGATTTGAATCTCAAGCGATTTGACAATACAGGTATGATCATTTTATGTTTTAAAAAAGGTTTCAATTTGAGTTTTGATATGACAATAATTAATACACTGTTTTAGTTTGTATATTGTTGTGTGATATTTCTTAAAGCTTTTATCGGCAAGGAATATCATAGAACAATGTTTTAATATGTACAATAAATATTTTTTTAAACAAATATAAAATAGTCCCTCCCCTTGGAATAAACACGACCAGCGAAATTTGCCAGTGGAGAATAGTTAGACCAATGAAAAGGGGTCTGAAATAATTTTAACCAATCAGGAAGCTGCGGGGTAGAGCCTGTGAGGGTCTAACTAGAGTTTGACTTCAAAAACATTTCCTTCTTTCCTTACAACTTGAACAGTAACTGAAATGCCTTTCTTTGCCTTTTATTTAAAAAAAAAGAGATCTATAATTGCATTGCACAAACTGTATCCATAATGTAACAGTAATCTAATGCCATACTGTGAAGCATATACCAGAAAAAGCTTTGATAACACAGCAATAGCAATATGTTTCAATCCTTCAAAGTTGCACAAGGAACAACTTGAACTCCTTTTTGGCCGCTGTGATGAAGTGTGAAGCTGGCACATATGCAGGATGTGATTTGTGGCACAGTTGGTTGTGAATCAGTGAGAGCGCTCTTCTGTCTTGAGTCATGTCCGGCTGCACATTACTGTACAAGGGTCACAATCTGGTCCTCTCCAGACTCCTCAGCTCATGACACAGGGTTAATAAATGATTCATTATCCACTTAGGGTCAATACTGTCAGATAAAAATAGCATCAATAATGGTCCTTGTCTTGTTCTGTAAATGAAAGTCTATTGGAAGAGGATCTGAGGATATCAGTCAGGACGTCAATGTTTTTCCTTTTGCCACTTCACTCTTTTTATCATTACAATCATGATGTTGGCTAGAGACTGTTAGAAAAATGCTTTCAGAATGTATGTACTTTTCCTAAAATAATTTATTAAAACTGAATATTTCTGTTTATTTAATGTACTCCTGTTTTATGTTGGGAAATATATAAACGTTTCATAATAATACAAAAATATAGTAATAATTGATAAAAATGTAATTGAAATGAAGTGGATAGTGAAAATCTTACAGATAAATAGCCTTAATAAAATATATTCATTGTTTGGACATGTTTCCCAGATACGATGCATGTATTTTACTTATGGAAATAATGCATAAGAAAGTAAGTAAAAAAAAGTAATCTTATTGCGCCTTTCACAGACCAGACTATAATACTTCCAATACATATATAAATATAAGTTCAGTGTACCAGAACATTCCTGTCTTCTCTCTATAATCTATTATTTTCTAGGCTTCTAATACACCTGCAATGCTACAGCTGCAGATCAAACATTAAACAGTTTATCTTCCCTTCAAAATGCTCCTTATTGGGCTGTAGTCGAGGATGAATGCAGGCAAAGATCAACGCCCAACGTAAACCATTACAGCCAGACATATGCTTGTGTGGCTCTAAATATAGCAGCACAATATATAACTGGGTCCAATGATTCATCCCCACAGCTCGCTATATTAGGACATGCATTACGTCTGTGGCTGTGTGCATTTTTGAGGTGTTTTTTTTTTTCCATCCTCAAGGTTATCTGGGTTCCTGTTCTGACGCCAGAGCTTTGACTCACACATATTCTCAGTAGACAGTGCGTAAAAGTCAGTAATGGTAATGGTACGTGATGTCCTCCACCTTGTCTCGTTCCAACGCACTTTTACGCAGCGCTTTACGGGTGGCTCGCTCTGTCCTCCTTCTACACCTGCAGCCCATTGGGTGTTGTTGTGTAACGATAATCATGAATGGAATCAGCTGTAGCGCAGTGTCACAAGTGGAAAGCCACGAATAAAAGCAATGTTCTAACCAGACATTGAGAAAGACACGCGTGTGATTGAAATTCCCATGTGGCACAATGAGTTTGCCTTTCAATTAGCGATGTTCTCACCTGCTTGAGTTGCTTCACCACCTCGCACTCAGACACGCTGCAAAAGTCTTCATGTTGGCCATAGATGTAGGCCTATTCCTCGATCGCCTTCTGCAATGATTTCAGAAGAAGGACGCGGTTTCGTTTGCCACTGATCCCCGACAGCTTTCAGTTCTTCAGCGTCTTTGCAGAGCGCGGGATATAGTGACCTGCTCCTCCTGCACGCCACCCATCACTGAGGACCCAAACGCACACTCTGCCCCTCTGCCACTGCTGCTGGAACAGATAAGAGGAGAGAAAAGCATGTCTGGCAGTCTGAGCATGCGTAAAACAGCCCTGACTCCAGCGCGCCGTACCCTCTGCTTGTGGTGATAGACCTGTGTTTCTTTTATTTATTCATAATTATGCGTGATTGAATGAGCAAGTCTCAGCTGGAGTCTGACAGGAGAAGACTTCACATATGTGTAAGAAGGTAATGAGAAATCAACACTGGGGATTGTCAATATACGAAACCTCAGTCTTGAAGCGGTCTTGGAAGACGAGCAGACATAATGAGCTGTTGGTTTATGCAAAGTCAAAATCTTTTTTGTGCAAACACAGTGCTGCTGAGTTTGGGAGAAAATATCCAAAATGATTCCAAGATTGTAGGATAGATATTGTGCATAAATACGTTATATGAAATGGCATACATGAGCAATAGACTTTTTATTTTATTTTTTATTTTAATCTCGAACATCTGAACAAATCTTGTTGCTGAACAGATCTTTTTCCTATGATGAACATTACGCAAAATGAAAATGAAAGTCTCTGGTATCTCTAATCTAACACAATAGTCAAATGAATAACATTCATTATCGTCTCCTTATGTAAGGATTAGAGAGTTCTTATAATGAGACAAAAGTGTAAAGAAGCTATAGTCTTATTCTAAGAACCTTCTAACCTTAACTCAACCACACAAAACTGGCAATTTACTACACAATAAAAGACTGTGTGTGTGTGTGTGTGTGTGTGCGTGCCTATGCGTGTGCATGTGCGTGCGTGTGTGTATGTCTGTGTGTGTGTTCTATAATGTATATTTAGTCCCAGTCCAATAAGCAACACGTTATTTCTGTATATTTTTAGATACAATGAACATTAATGAACATCTATCTAATGTCACTCAAGCACATTAGAGGAAATATATAACCACTGACTCACTGATGGTGCCACGATTTGTGTAAGGAGGCCTGAGACTGACACAAATTAGACAAATGCATTTAAAAAAAAGTCTAATATGTTCACAACACTGCATGTCCCTGCGATAGTGCAAATGTTAGAGGACACACTCTAGGAAAGTGGAGAAGGCGGCATCAGATGCCACATCTTCCTCTCTACAGAAACAATAGAATTGCTTGTTTGCTGCAGAACAGAGTTCGATAAGAACAATGCGGTGGCTGAGAGTGGAAGCATCTTGAATGCATGGAGACAGATCTTCTTTGATCAAACGTGCACCAGCCTATGCTTCAATTATTGGCGCTCTGATGTAAGTAAGATGTTTAAAAACCATCATCAAAGGGACAATAGTCAGAAGGGTGTGGTAAAGGAAGTAAAAGCTCTTTAACATCTTGAATATTTACAGTATACAACTGTCTCATGCATGTATCAAGTGGACATTGTCATTGTCCAAAAAACATAATTGTTTTGATATGTCAATATTTCTACAATGCATTTCATAGTCTCACTCAGTGCTCGCCGCCAGTAATTGCTCTGACATTTTGCCCTCGTATACATCTCGTGGGCTGTGCTCCATCTGAAGTCACATTAACCTTTAGCCAAATACAGCTGAGTTCAATGGTCCAAAGTCTCAAGCCAGTGCACCTCTGTTAACACTAAACTGATCGACCAGCCTGAGGGAAATCAACAAGACAGATGGCAGTCAATAGAAAAACACATTTACTCGTGTACTATTGACCATTCTATTAAAACAGGCTTTAATGCTATAAAAAAAAAGTACCAGTGAAAATTACCAGGGTTTAATTGTACCAAGCCTCTGCTTCTTGGCTAATCGTGGGCTGTCTAAATTAAGCAATTGTATCCATGTCAACCGCATGCATTTGGAAGCTTAATCACAAGTCTTTGAGACAAGTGAATTACACAGATTATCCCCTCATCATGGCACCTGTTTGTGAGTCAGATCTGCCCCACAGCCATTCGTCCAAACACTGAGATTTATCACTCAAATACCAGAGAGACATTGCTCCAATCTACTCCTGATTTCAACATGTTTAATGGAACAATTTACGCACAATCTGAAAATAAAATTTACAAGGGATTAGCGGCTGTTCCTTTACAGCACTGGTGTCAAAGTCAAGGCCCGGGGGCCAGATCCGGCCCGCTAGACCATTTCCAGTGGCCCTTGAGATGATTTTAAATGATTATATTAAACAGCAGCATAAATGGTAATAGGCGACAATGTCATGTTATCCATTACTAAGAAAACAGCCACAAAATTTAACTCCATAAGAATTAAATTTTCTTAGGAAAGAACCACCCTCTCCACTTTTTGTACTGGTCTGGTCTTATTTGACGAGCACAAATCACTAGAATGATTGACAGTTGGGGGGACCAATCGTCTTGATGATCCACACAGAAGTAGAAAATCTTCCGATACGTTCAATATTTGGTCCAATTTTGGTTCAGTCCACAGGAACTGAACTAATTCTATCAGAAAAGAAAGTCCAATCCAACTAATTTGAAACAAGTCATTTATATATACCTTCATTTTCCAAAAAAAATGTATAAATGAAACCCACTTTTGTTTTTGGCCCCTGACCAGCCCTTTCTTTTTTTAATCGGCCCTCAACCGAAATAAGTTTGTCACCCCTGCTTTACAGAATATATTTTACAACGTATGCTGGACACACACTTGAAAAACATAAATATGCGATTTTACTGATGGGGAAAGAGAGACCTCAACAACAACAAAGCATATAACAAATGTGAGAACCACAGTTCAAAATGAGTGGTCAACGCTGACATTTTAGTCAGATTGAGTGGTTCAACACAGCAACACTTCCTTTGTATCCAATAAAATATGTATTTGTGTGTTATTGATGCTTTTGACTTTCCAAAATAATATAATGGGGCTGCAAAACCAAAACCTAACCTCTGCGCCAAAGGGCCGCTTTAATTCCAACACAGTTTGTACGATTTATTGTCTCAGTATTTTTCTGTATTAAAAAAGAAGAAAAGTCAACCAAGAGACACAAACATCTCACACGCAGCAGAGATCCAAGACAGACCCTGTTCTAAATATTAAGTAAAGGTTTATGGCTTCAACTCATCTGCAGCTGTCATAAGTTATGTTCAAACCAAATCCCTAAGAGAATCATAAGTCATGCATTCGTCTATTGACCAACCTCTGAGAGAAATTCAAGCTCCAAAACCAGGTCAAGAAACACCAGATGGAGTAGTTAGAGGAAAGCAATCGAAAGACAAGCCTTTACCCAGAAGCCCAAGAAGACGTTAGATCAGAAGTGCGAGGAGATGCAGCCTATAGAGTTAGAACTGAGCTATGCCAGTTAACATGGTGGAGTGAGAACAAGAGGCCATGAAAGCTCTGAACCAGATTGAGACAGTTCACGAGTAGCTCAGAGAGAAGAGGGAGGCAGAGGGAGCGTGAGTAAAGGACTGCAGGAGCATAATGTAGACTCTCACAGCCATGTCTGAGAGGAAGCCCAGAACATGCAGAGTGAGCGCAGGAACAGACTCTTCACAGACTCTTCACCAGGCTGTTAAAAACAACAGCCCTGGAGGAGGAGTTTGTGAAAAGACATCAGTCAATCTATATGGTGTGCACAGGAGGCAATGATCCCCCTTCAACATGAGCTGGACCAGGACAAAAGCAGGTCAATGCAAAACTAAAAGAGGAGAACATGAGACTGAAGAGGGAACACAGCCGAGAAAAAGGAGAAACTAATGCCTCTAAAGGACAAGAAATACACTCAACATCAGATGATGAGGACTGAAAAGCTGGAGCCAAAGACCTCCATGAAGAAGGAAATCGAGAGCGCACCACCGAGACACAGGTGAAAGAGCAGGTGCACCAGAACCCTCCCCAGCAGTATACAATGTACTCTGCAGGACCAGCTCTTCTCCTACCCCCTTACTCCTAGCTCCTAACTCCTAAACCCTACCTCCTTTCAAGCAATTGAAAGTTTTTTGACTGTTTTTCATTCATGATGTTGTTGATTTACATTTATTGTGGGTAGTGTTAAAGCAAGGAGATAAAAGTGTATTGGTCCTCTTCTCCTGTTTAGTATGTGCCCCACCACTGCCCCACCACTGTCGGACCACATGTTTATCTCTTCTGTTTGAATCTGTTACTGCTGTGTAGTACTTGTCCCACTGGTGGAAATCGGTTTTGCAGCAAGCATACATTTAGAAACAGACAGACTCTGCTAAAATAACACGTTACTTATTGAGGATTACAAGAAGAGGATCTTTGGGGAAAAGTTTCACAATAGCATCTTACATCCACATGCTGCTGCAGAGTCTGTTGTTATCATGGCAACAGGAGGGCACTTGAAAACCGTAGACTGCAAGTGGAGTTGCAGCCTTCGAGGTCCAGGCCGGGGCGACAGGTGTTTACAGGTGTAGATAAAACAAACAACGGGAAAGCCGGTGAATTGCAGTGAACAGACAACAGCTGAAGTCATGATGATGAAAGATAAAGTCTGTTTTTTGTTAGTGCAATCTGTTTTTTGTTAGTGCTTAAAATTGTTTTTCTAAGTCTTACCTTTCCTATCCGTATGCTGAATTAAAGATGAATGTTTTAAGTCTAACCTTGAATGTAGAAACTGTCTGCTTCCTTGAATGGGAACGGGGAGCTTCTACTGTGCTTACACTCTAGGAACCACCAGAAGTCTGGCCTCTTTGGAGCTAAGTGCTCAGTTTGGTTGATATGATACAAACTTGCCTTGGAGGTAGGAGGGAGCCATATCATTTAAGGTAAGAGAGTGATTATGAATTGTAATCTATACTCCACAGGAAGCCAGTGGATTGATTTGATCACTGGAGTTGTGTGTTCCCTCCTTTCATTGCTGGCGTTACAGTCGTCAAGCCTTGAGGTGACAAATGCATATATACATTTTTTGCATGACTTTTAGGAAGGATATTCCTAACTTTAGCTATGTTTTGCAGATGGAAATATGCGTTGTAGTTGCTTGGTTTATACAAGCCCTAAAGGGCAGTTCTTGGTCATAAACAGATGACATATGATTATCTGATCAGTGAGCCACACAGACATTTGGGTTTGAGTATGATTTTTCTGGGCTGAGGAACT